TGTACGTCCGTTCACGAATTTAAAACGAACCATGCGAAGGTGTGCGGAAAATTTATAAACCACAACCACAATAGTAAATAGGTTTTATTTAAAAAAAAATCATTATTTGAATGTAGTTATAGCGATTTTTTTTAGTATGTCAGTAAATCACAGATTATGGATGAAATTGTTTTTATCCTTTTTATAGTTCAATATAGTTGGAAGGAGTTCAAATATGTTTCTTTCTCGTTATGTTAGTTTTTATTTCATTTTTTTTCTTTATTTACCATTTAAAATCATATAACTTAATAATCATATAATCTTAATAATTTAATTTGAAGTCTACATTTTTATTTAAAAAGTAATAAATTAGTGTGAGAGTTACAGATATTTACAATTTATTAAACAATAAACAAATGATAAACTGATAAATTATTAAAGGCAAGAATGGCAAAATAGTTTTAAGAAACGACGAAAGAAGACTGACTGGTCCACTCTTCGGAGCATCCGGCATCATCACTAACGATCATCTCGTCCTTAAAATGAACCTTTTTAATGAATGACGCCGATAATGCACCTTTGTCGCCAGTGCATTTTGGAAAATTCTGTTCGTTATGTTGCAGTTTAGCTTGCAACCAGACGGGAACTTGCTGAGAACAGATGGAATCATCCGATTGACAAATTGCTGGATCTTCAAGATTTATTTTAATTAATTTTGTTAAAATTGCATTAATATGAAAAACGTGAGATACTAAATATTAGAAAAGAAGAATAGCTACACATTTTCACGTCCTTTAATTCCAAATTGTTATTGTTTCTACTACTCTATATTTTTTAACATTTTTTTACAAAGTAAATTTATTTTTTAAAGTTCAATAAAAAAATCTTCAACTTTTTTTTTAGTTTGTTTTATATTATTCATTTAAGTCTTTTGTTTTCAGTTCAAGACTAAAATGATAAAATATTAATAATTTAATATTGAATTTGTTAGAAAAAAACGTGGAATGCTTTTTAAAACTCAATCAATAAATTATTTAACAATCATTCAATCGAACGATCAAATTTTTCACCGAGAAGTTATTCATACCGCTGGACTAGAACAGTTAAATATTGATTAACATTACAATAGTAATTATGAAGTGATTATAATCAGTTCGGGGTAAAATAATTTTCATATTAATATTGTATTATTGAATATTCAGAACTTAATTTATTCATACCGCTGGACTAAAACAGTTAAATATTGATTAACATTACAATAGTAATTATGAAGTGATTATAATCAGTTCGTGGTAAAATAATTTTCATATTAATATTAATATTGTATTATTAAATATTCAGAACTTAATTTATTCATTTCATTTTTTATCATTCTTATTAGAACATTATTTATCAATATTATTTAATTGTAGTATTTAAATATTTTATATACATTTAATAAAAACACCTTTCGAGTAAACTTAAATTTTAAACTAGAATGCAATATGCATCAGCTGCTGGTTAGAATCGGCAAAAGAGGCCGTTCTGAAGCTTGTATGTATGCGTCCAAGCTCTTAATGTTTAAACTCTCTCAAAAATTCATTAATATTAAAAAGTTAAAAATCTTACCAAAGATTTTATAAAAAAATTTTTCATAGTAATAAAAATCACCAGTTACCTTGGAATTCCCTTGTTGGTTTCTGAGGTACTTCTTTGCTTTTTGTTATATCCTCCTGGCAAAATGTTAAATAAGAAGTTTAATTGCTGATTGATATGAAGATATATTTTATATAGAATAAACCTTTGAATCAGTGTTTTTCTTATCAGGCGAGTTTGAAGAAAAAACAACTTTGAAATGTTTGAAATGAACAAAAGGCTGTCGGATGGTCTTCTCGCACGATGGTGATGATTCGTACCGACAGTAATATATGGAAGCGATTAAGCAGACACAAAACACAACAAAGCAAATGCTCACTGCAAGGCTGATTATTAACGTTGAAGATGTTTGTAGAAGATGAATAACGTTGATGATTATCATTTCACTAGCTGTCCTATTTTCACTAGAGGTTACAGTTATATTCAATTTATATTGCGCTATTGATGTTTCCAGTGGTCGTTTCAGAGTTATGTCTCCAATCTTTCTATCTATTTCAAAGTTATAACTCCCCCCTTGAATCGCAAAGTTAATCGTATCATTTTCTAGCAGAGTGGCAACAGTAACTCTCGTTATAAAACTTCCGACTGGTGAATTTCCTGGCAGGCTTATGGAATTGTTATTGCTTGTAGGGAAAATAAAAATAATGAAACTGGGAAGTATTTTTATGTATATGACAGCGGTTTCTATAGTGCTTTTGTATTTTATATTCAAAAAAATTTTCAAAATTTTCAATTTTTTGAAAATATCGGTAGATGGATTAAATATTTTCATGGTAGAACAGTCAATATCAAATGAAGATCGATTGATAAGTGACCCGTTTTCGAAATAAAATTTATACTCTATTGGGATGTTTTTGACGGTTGGATTAGCATCTAAACTGCCAATTGTTTTATTCGGGTAAAGTTCACTTTCGATAAGATTGTATATATACATTTTTGTTTTCAAGATGCTTTCCCTAACATCTTCAAGACTAATAAATAATCTATCAATGAGGTTGTTGGTGTCATTGCCATAAACTGAAATACGCAGAACAAAACTGGTCTGATTGAACGCATAGCTTTTTTTCACTGTCAACAGTCCTGATTCTGTATTTAAGTTGAACGCCTCAACATAATTTTCAAGATAAAAACGTATTTCTGGAACGCTACTTGATAATAATTTGATTTCTTCTATTTCTGTTTTCAGATCAATGTTCAAATACATTAAAGTGACGTTGAATGCAAATAATTTGTTCAACGGCATAATATTTTCTATCAAGAGATTTCCATATATTTGATGATTCAATAGTTGGCAACTAACATTCAAATAAATTTGTTGTAAAAAAATGGTAGCAAGATCAAATTTTGAAATTATTATGTATTCCTTACATTCTGAAATTTTAAAAAAAGAAAAATATTCATTACTTAACAGGCACCAACACTCGTTTGTTGCATATTTGAAATCCGTTACTTTAACACGTGCAACATATGTACCATTTGTTACTGCTTCGAACGGCAATAAAACTGCATCTACTTTTTGGGAATCACGTTCAAAAATAATTTTTGGAAGCTCGTCGTTGTTGATAATTTTAATGTAAACGTTCGTCGTCCCTGCCAAAGCGGAGTTTTTAGAGTCGAAAGCTAATATGGAAAGATTGTAAACATAGGACTTACCGGAGTCAATGTTTCGTATCAGTTTTATTACTCCGGTTTGGTTGTCAAGATCAAACAAATCATTTGCTATGTAAAGCGTGAGTGTAGAAAACTGGAAAAGAACTGAATTGTTTGAAGATTTCGTCTGCAGCTGAATAATTGTAGAATTAGCATAAACAGGAGCAACCAAAAACACGTGATATTCACGACTGTAAAACTGAGGAGGATCATTATTTGGTGTAGTTCTAATCGTAACATTCAAGTAACCTACATTTGCAGGATCCGCAGTATCTTCAGCTGCAATCGTCAAAAGTATTTTCCCTTTAAATTTGTTTATCAAAATGAGGTTTATATTCCATAAATCATTTACGCATGCATACTCTAGATCAAAGTAGAATGGTCGATCTACAATATAAAATTTCTTAATCCCATTTACTGGCGAATCATCATCTTTTGCCGTTGGAATATTATATTTACTTCCAAGTGGTGCATTTTCTGGTATGGAAATAGTAAAAACTGGCAAAGCGAAAATTGGTACAAAATCATTAACATCTTCTATTGCAACAACGATTTTTACTTTGCTTATTACGATTGAATTATACTTTATAAGAACATAGAAACAGAGTTCACACACACTTTCTCCGGGACATATTAAATCCCGATTTATTGAAGTCGATGTTTTTAAAATTCCGGTAACATTATGTATCTTGAAATGTGCCGTTACTTGTGAATCATCTAAACTAAACTCCATTGACAACATTTGAGTTTCTGACAACTCGGTGTATAATTTTAAATCTGATGCGACACTTCCTACAAACAGCATTGGCTGCAATTTTTCAACAGTTGAATAACGAAGAATAGAACTCCAAGCAAACGTCTTATAACAATATTCAAACATTATAATTACAATTAATGAAAAAAAAATTTCGCAACGCATACTTACGTTACTTTAAGATATGAAAAAAATTATGAAAACAAAATTTGCGCAAATAGACATGCTGGCGTTCCGCCTTGCATATAACGCCGTTCTTGGCAGCAATGCAACTTGCTAAAACACCTGTCTTTATTGATTGGGTGAGCGCCAAATATAAACAAAAACATTGATCGTTCTTCAACTTCTTTCTATTTGTCAGCATTGTGCAAGCTTTCGATTGTCTCTTTGTTACTCACACACAATACGGAAGCAATTCTTTGTTACAAACTTCACCTAGCACGTAATCTTTATTAAAATTATTATTGGATTAAAATAAAATATTGCTATGAAATGACTAAAAAACATAAACACAAACCTAATAAGATTAACTCAGTTTTTATCAAGAAGTTTGGATATAAAATAAATTGCCTTCCTCCTACCTAGCATTCGAACCGGGGAAGCATGCAGCAAACCCGTAATACTCTAAAAATAAGCACAATCTCAAAATTAAATTTAAAGCCAATTTAAAACGATAATGCAGCAATACGGACAAAGGTATGCACGCACATAATATGCAAACATCACTCTACAAAATATAAAGCATTCATACGCACACGAATTTTCGGGACATTTCAGTTACAGGCTACAATTATTGTTTTCGAAATTAAGAAAATTGGAGCTGGTTTAGACGATTATTTCAGCAAGTGATCATTTCTTCAATAACAGAAACTGATGAAAGACGGAGACGAAGTAGCAAAATGATCTAACGTACCGCTACAAACAACACCACGACCTACATAAAAAGCTTCTAACGCCAAAATGGTCGTAGAAAAAACAGGGTAAAGAACTTGAAAATTTTATGAACACGAATCAAGTACGCAAAAAATAAATTATGTTTTCAAAACCAAAATTGCTTTTGATAATAAAAATTGCAGGTTAGAAATATTATTTTGCACAAAATAAATATAGTAAATTATATCCAAATTGCTAACAAATTCAACAATAAGATTAAAAAACTGGGAAGGCAACATGATTATGATATCTAATTAGGCGATCACAAAAATTTAAAAAGGCACAGTTGAAACAAAAAACATTAAAAAAGTTGTTGATGATTCATGCTTGCTCGACTACTTCTTCGGCACTTTTTCTTTTGTTCTTAATGAGGTTGGCGATCATGGCCCATTCCTCATCTGAAACGTTTTCTATCAGATGGTTGAACGAACCGGCCGCGAAGTTGAATTCTCCTCCATCCAACCTAATAATCTTCAGACATGAAAATGAAAATAATTTAACGCTAGACATTTCTGCTGTCAAATAATTTATTAAATAATGTTAATTTTCTGATGGTCGTGAAAAAATAAGCGCTCTTGAAATCGTCTATACACAACATTGATACTAAGAGATTTTGGGCTACTGTAATCATTATCTTGGTGAAGTTACAAAAAATGAATCGGCGAAAAAACGTACAAAGCACATTCGATCAATTTTTGGAGATACGATCCAGTGAATGATGATTAAAGATAAATAATTTACCGATCCAGTCATCCAAGAGGAGTAATCGCTGACGAGATAGCACGCCAGATTTGCAACTTCCTCCACTTCTCCGTACCTGCCAAGCGGCAACTTGTTCAGCTTGCCATGCATGAACCGACCGGTGGGATCCAACTGAGCCGTAGCCCCCTAACGTTCAATTACGTTTTGTAATTTTCTACACGGTGCGGCTTCAACGTGATAGAAGCAGTTGATATTTTCAAATTTCTTCAAAACTTTTAGTTAAATTATTAAATAACATTTCACTGGTTGTTTCTAATCAGCAGACAAAAAAGTCGTGTGATTTGTAATGCCAGATGGAAAAAAGTCATATTTATTTTAGATGGGTCAAAGGCAATAAGAGAAAAAAATGTTATTTCATAACGCAGTAAAAAGGATCCATTACGGTTTAAACGGTTTTTCGGAACTTGGATAATGCCAAATAACATATCTCTACATCCGCCCACACTGACTGATGAAACTATGATGTCCTTGGCGTAGTCGACTCAGAGCATTAAATTTTATAATTTACCACATCAAGCATGATCATCCAAACTCAATGCAGTAATAAAACGTTCGAGTAAAAAAGCAATTTATTCCGGTAATTTGTAGCAGAGAATTCGAATCAGCAAAACAGATTGATGTTCATTTGATGGATTCTATATGTATGAAATTTATTAGAATTGAGACGACATTTGAACGCTAAGTCAATTTTTTTACTAATCTACGAGTGCACTCAACAAAATTTTGTTTATATTATTATCGTGTAAATGTTAATGGAAATCAACTGTGGATTTAACTTAAGCCAATCGTTTTGAAAACATTTAGCAAAATTAATTGTTCCCATCAATTTGATCCGCACTGCAGCTTAGCATGGGCTCAAGAAATTGTTTACATTGACATAAAATAGTAACTAATCTGTTTCAATGACTACTACAATAAACCGTTCCTAAGCTATTTAATAAAAATTATCAGCAGAAAATATATCAAACCGGAGTGTGAACGTGGCCTGGTTGGATGCAATTGAATCTCAGCCCATATATGCACCACTCTGCAGCCAGCGACCTGCAATTGAAATGAGCACATCATTAGAAATCAACTACTGACTGCAGATGCAGCAAGTGGGGGAGGCGCAACCCCGACCGGATGTCCGGGAGGCACCCATTCAAGTGGGCGAACGTCTAAGTACTGTTTCACAAACTTTATTTATGACATCTGAACAACAAAAAATTAGATAAAATATATTTGAACACATTTCGTTTTCACCATTTATTTATAGAGCGCGTTCAAAAGTAATAGTAAATGTTAATTAAAATTGATTTAAAACAGGAAACTAAAGATGAAAAACTGTAGAAATAAAACTGCGGTTTTTTGTATAGGGAAAACGAAATAAATGAAAGTTTTGATTTACAATCAAATGTTTTTAAAGCGCTCCTTGTCGGCATTATGCAGCAAATAAAATGCAGAATTGAAAGACGTGCAAGACAAAAAAATGAAGGTGCGGAGAGAGTTGGTAGAGAGCCACAAAGAATTGTGAGCAGTGCCGTGGGCAGAATAGATTTAGAAACAAGAGAGGTTCCAAACGAATCGATGTGGCTGAGGAAGTTGGGATTTTTTAGAAATCGATTATAAAATTTATAAAAATGATAACTTGAAGACAAAGTGTTCACTCTATGCGGAGTTCCAATTCAAACATTTGAGGAACTAAATTAACATAAAATATCCCATTGTAGAATCCACTGCAGAACAAAAGTTTCAAAATCAAAAAACATACTGAATACAGAGATCATCCCGTTTTTCCTATTTTAGAGTTGCCCCTTAAATTTTGCAAATCAAAGAAAGAATGAATATCCTCAAGAACTTAAGTGGGATACTTCGGTGAATTAAAATTAATACTAAAATATTCATGGGTTTCAATGAGCCAACAGCATTTGTGCAACTTGGTGGTGCTGGGTAGAGCCTATCGAAGAAAATGAAATGAACAGCTTTGATTTCAAAATTTACTTTTTAGAATAATTGTACGTTTTACTTCTTTTGTTGCAGTAAAAATACCTGTGAAATTTATTTTTTTGTAGCTTGTTAGTTTTCCACCACATAAAAACATAAATAAGTAGATTTCAGTTTTGGGGTGCAAATGGGAGAGATTTGCCCAGGGCGTATTTCATAGTCCCCAAGCCACTGGTAGTCTGGTTCGACTCTAAGAAATTTGATTGAAACTGAGCAACATTTTGTACATTGCTGATGCTGTACATTGCTCGTTTCCACTACACTAAAGACGGTACTGATCCCAAAAGTATTCAGCTGGAACATGGAAACCTACATTTGTTGAAGTGAATTCTAGAAAAAGGAGTAAAAGAATCGAAATAAAGAAAGGAAAATATTAGTTCACTGAATTAATGAAGTAAATACAATTAGAGCAACATTTACTTTAGGATGACAATCAGTGCCTTCTCTCAACAGACTCGTTCGCCATTAATTTATTATTTCATAAATAATAATTCAGAGAACAAATGTGCAAATGAATTGCTTTTGAATAAAATGTGGAAACATAAACGATGCATATGGTCAAAAAACAATTTAGATTACGAATAATTAAAAGATTTTGAGAGGTGTACTACTTGGTGAAGCTTTCAACAGCAGACTTTGCACAAGCAGATGGTACTGTAAACGCTGATCCACTAAGAGTGTAACTTGTCGACATGTTCAAGAAGGCACCTCCTTAAAAAACATTTTCATGCGTCATTTATAAATTGAAAACTAGCTCAAACAAACAACCTTGCCTAGCAGCAATAAGCCTTTTGCCGATGTCAACGGTAACATTGATGGTGCCGTTGAGGATGACCGCCATGATGGAGTCCCAGGCATGTTTGGTCAGTTTGACGGTTGGACTGATGAAGTTGCCGGCAGCGTTGTTGATGACGATGGTGGGCAGTCCGAGCACGTCGATGCATTCTGACACTGCGTCCCGAACTGACTCCGAGGAACATACATTGCATCGGATCGGCAACACCTTGTATTTAATGCAGTGTATCTAATTTTATATGCAGAACACCAAAATTAAAACCAAAATTAATTTTTCTAATATGAATTCAATGTTGAAAACATCTTATTGTAATTTGATCATCAGACGAAAGCAAGATGATGAATAAAAGCTTTTCAACGTAATTTGCATAACATAGTGAAGAAATATGAATATTCCTAAAATGTTGATTCGCAGTAAATACAAAACCATTCATTAGGCAATATATTTATAAATGAGCATGTAGATATGACAGGGATGTGGTTACAAACGAGGAATACCCAACACTGCAGACTGTTATAATTCTTGTCGTGTGGTTGAGGAAATTATAATTGAGATGAAGAAAAAATTAAGACAACAACCTTACATTGAAAATAATTTAGACAAATGCAAACACTGGAAGCACTTATGAAAATTGATTTAAGAATAAAATTAGTATCCCACCATGACAAAACACCTCAGTGGAAACTTCAAAACAAGTTAATTTCACTGCCACATCAGTACAAGTTAATGTCATCACAACACCAACAAGAAGTTAATATTATCAAAGCACCAGCAAGTTAAAGTCATTGTGACACCAACAACAAGTTAATGTCATCGCAATACCAGCCTTAGTTAATGCTGTTGCAACATCTACAATTAAAAAGTGTTATTGCATAAAATGCATATACCTCATTTTTGGATTTGCTGCTTATGACATCAGCTGTGTTCTTCAGCACTTCAATGTTTCTAAAGAAAAATAAATTACGGTAATAGGAATTAATTTTATTTTAATTTCAGTCCAGGCAGTTTTTTTTACTTGTTGTTACTTGTTGTTTTCAAAAGATAATATTTTCAAACCACCTTCCTGGCACCAAATAACTTTTTAATTCAATTTAAAAACCCCAAAAATTTATAGTAGTATTGGTTGTACCTATCCCACCGTCGCACACTCATCGCAACATCCTCACCCTTACACACAATCATCACAACATCAACCAGATTATTGTAGCCAGAGACTCACCAGGCCAGCTCGACTTAATCAGAAAAGTGCTCAAGTAGTCTGGCGATCCACGCCAACTCTGACATTCGCTTCATAATCTGCATTAACCGTCAACCTCCGTATTCTGCTGATGAATGTAAGACTCTTGCAACATCTTGTGCCAATCATTTTTAATATAAAATTGATTGCCTTTTCTATTGCCTCCTCAAACATCTTTTTTCGACACTCAATCTTATCCTGGCACTCCCTTTCTAATCTTCTCCAGCTGTTTCACACTCGGATTCTTTCATTGCCTGATAAAACTTCTCCACTTATTATATCAACACCTCTCTTAAAACAATTTGCTTCGTCTTTTCCACCTTTCTATCCAAAGCTTGCTAACCTTTTTTTTGGAAAAAATTCAAGCCATTTTTCCTCATTATTTAAACCTTGTCAAGGCTTACAACATCTTTTAAAATGAAAGTGGAAGCACATGCACAAAAGTTATTAAAAACTGGCGTCCAATCAAATCATCAATTATGGTTCTAAGCAACCGGCAACAACAATCAAAATGTCCCCTCCCATCAACTGCCAATATTGCTGATTAATGCAACTCTACCTTATCTGGTATCTCATTCTATCTCATAAAATCTATTTAACCGGTAGAAAACAAACGTGTTCTTAATGTATCTTACCTCACTCCCAGTACCTTTACACTAATAAGACTACATCAGTTGCCTAATCATCTTCGATAACATTCCAACCATCAACTCAACTACTAACTTACATCAACCTGTTAGCAAGTCTTCTGCTGACAATGGGAGTTTTTTTCTCTGTGGAACAACTGCACTCTTCTTTCAGATAATAACCATCCTTAAACCTATTTAAAAAGCATTTAAAGAACTACTTGTTTCTAATTTGGGTGCAGTATCGATGAAAACTCATCCTAAACACCCTGACGCCTTGCACATGGTGCTGTATAAATTAGACCTACACATTATTGTTTAGTGATGATTGAAGGTCATAAACTTTGAAACGCAAATTCAAAAATCAAAATGCATCATAATAAATCATTAAAATCAATTGAGTCATATTACCAAGTATTACTCATTCATTCTTCATTTTATCTAATTTAAAAAATATTACGCCACCAAAATTAATTCAATTTAATGCTGTTTTTAAAGAAATTTTCTTAAACAAAAAAAATTACCGGCTGACAATAGCAACCTTCGCTCCCAGAGAGGATAACATTGTTGCCATGCCGGCTCCAAGACCAGTGCCTCCACCAGTTATAAATGCCACTTTACCCTAATTCAAAAGTGGAAAGCTAATGTATATTGTTATGCAGATGTCACTGTCATGTTGGTGGTTTTTAAATTATAAGAACAATGTTTTAAGAACAATGTTTTTCACTAGTTAGTCGTATCAAATGTTGCCTCTACATATGAAGTTGTTTGTTGGAGAACTAGGGTCGGCCCTGCATCTTTTAATTATATATATAAATGTACAATAATAATTATAATAAAAATATATAATTATATATATATATATATATTGACTATTTTGATCTCAAATGTTTTTTTAACTTCAAATCAAGTCAGTTTAAATAAATACAATACATTAATGTTGACGGTTATGTAATGTAACCAAATGTAAAAAGCGAGCCTATTTCTATTTAAAGGAATTAATAGGTGTGCTTCTTCATGCTATATGGTTGAATATAATTTTTGTTTTACCACAAACTTTGTATAGACCTTTTGCCAAACTATAATTCAATGAAACGAGTACAAGACAAGACACAAGACATTTTTACTTACTTTAATTTAGTTTTATCCACGTTTACTTAACTAACCATTCAATTAATTATTTCTAAACTCATCAAGTCACTTCATCACTTGTTCATTCATTTATTTTATTATTCAATTATTTATTTGTTTTTCATTTTATTATTCAATTTTTCACTTATCTATTATAATTGGCTTCAAGTATATTATTTTATAAACAATATTTTTTATTCATTAATTACTAATCTACAGTTATTATGATTTAGGCCATTTTTCAACCTTACTAACCGGCTACTTACTATTTCCCTATTGTAGCTTAAGTAATTACTTTGCAATGAATAAACATTTACACTTGCATTTATTCTATTTTGTGGTAAATGTATATGTCCAATTTATGTGGGCATATATGTCCAATTTATATGTGATGTAATATTTTTTAAAAGCAGTCTTTTGTACTTGCATGCACTGACATTATTATATGACAGCTGATGAATGGATGTGGTTTGAATAAATCTTCTGACAAAATACTTTTCTGATATATTATTAATTCAATTTTTTATCTTTTCTCCTTTTTGTTTTTTTAATGCCATGCACATCACACTATTCACTCCTCTGTCAGAGTTTGATATTCACAAAGTTAAAAAAATTCAAAGAGTCATACAAATATTTATCAATGGTATGCAACCTTGAACAATCCTTCAGGAAACATTGGTGTTTTGACAGGTTTGAAGTAATGGGACCGTGTCACCCACAGTTCATTAGGTTCATCTTCTTCATCAGATGAATGCACAAGTCTTTTTGTATTATAGATCACTGGGAACTTCTGTTCAAATTAACAAAAAGAGCTATCTTAATATCTGTTAATAAAATTGTAACAGTATCTGCAATGTATGTTATACATTTTAATATGGATACTGCTCATCTTGGCCCTTTAAATAAACTACAAATTCAAAACCTATCACCCACAATAAACATAAATAAACATTATCAGCTGATTGTAAATCATACCATCTAATGTAATCTTTTCTTTCTAGTTTCTATAATAAAAACTAAAATTTTAAATTTTATTATATTTTAAATTTTAAGAGATTTTCCTTATCAGGCAATAAAGTTGAGTTAAATTCTTATATTGATCCCCATGTGGTTCTTTGCTACACATGCACACACTCAAAGTTCTTTGCTGATAGAACATCAAACTAGTTTTTTTACAGGCAATAAACTTTCTGGAAATGTAATAACAATAAAATTATAAAACAAATAACTTTTACTTTCAGTACTTTTGTCAGATAACTGAAGACTTTTCACTAATAAATCTAAATGCCATTTATATATTATATATATATTTGGGCTGGTAATGTTGCTGAGTAGCAGATTATGGAAATAAAGTTGAAAATTTTTTTTCATGCATTTTTTACTTGTGCAACAACCTACTAAATGGGAATAACATATTATAATTATAATAATATAACATTCATTCAATAGTGGTAAAAAAATTGTCTGGCGTGCTAGCAGGCTGCAGTTTGCTACCTCCGCAAGGTTAAACCTGACTAAACCTTTACTCACTGTTTACTCTCATCTAGCTAGCTGGTACCTCTAGCTGGTTTTCACTCTGACTTAATAAAACTAAAAAAAAGACTCTGATAAAGAACGACAAAAACACAGTAATACACAAATTGATTTAATAAATTTAAATTTGCAACGATGTCAAAACTGCTACACTTTCATAAGCACAGTAAAGCTTCGTCTACCTTCAAAGACAGCGGTCCATTTCTCGAAAAAACTCTAATCATTTTTAACAACTGACCTTTTAATATCTAAAAAAAACTTAAAAGTGATAGAAGATAATAAATACTTTTAGTTAGCGCGATTGTTGTGAGTTCAAGTTCAATTCAACAAAAAGTATTATTATAATTGAAAATATTATGATTATTATTATATTAATATCATTGTTAATCTGAACATCAGTGTCTTATATATAAATATATATATATATATATATGAATATATAACTAGGATTGAGACTGTCAATCAATAGCGCTATTTCCGCGATGTTCAACAGCGCTCCTCAATGAATTTTGCAAACAGATGGTTCTTGAGATCCGCTCTGAACTTCGTAAGTGATAGAAAAGTAGTCAGAAAAGGAGGTAGAGAGTTTCAGAGAAAAGGGCCAGAAAGGCAAATGTAGATTTAGCAAAAGAGTGTTTAACATGACGAGTTAAGAAAAAGTGAGAACAAGTAGACGATCGTAAACCGGGGCGTTTAGGTTCACTTATTATATCGGATAAGTACTTAGGAAAAAATTTAGATTGAGACTTATACATAAATGTGAAAATTATTCTACATTTTATAGGTAGCCATAGTACAAGAGAACAAGAAATGGAGATATATGAGAAAAGAAAGAGGCACGAGCAACTAGACAAGCAGCAGAGTTAAAAGCTTTTCTTAAAGGATAGAGAATCAGGAAGACCAAAAGCGAGTTACAGTAATCAATCCTAGATAAGACTAACAAAGTAACAAGAAGGAGAAAAGTAGGATCGTCAAGAAAAGGCAAAAGTTATTATATTCTACGTAGATGAAAGTAAGAACTTCTAGCAACACTTAATCTGAGAAGAAAGAGACATACTAGAATCCAAGATAAAGCCTAGACTACGAAATTTGAGAGAAACATCAAGAGTTTTAGAATCAGGTAAGATAATAGGAGGAATGGTAATAGAGTGTTTAGATTTATTAAGACAAATTAATTCATAATGTCGTAAATACAATAGTTAATATTCTTTCTTTTTCGTGCCTTAACACTTTGTAGTAGTTGAAATGTGATGATATTCAACAAGTGACACAAGAACTTCACGAATATTATTCGTTGTTGACTCGATCTCCTTTCCATGCAATCTTTCCAGTAGTTGTTAGATTGTCCATTCTTTCTTTCCGTATGATGTGACCAAAAAACTTCAACTTTAAGAAATATACCGCTTATATGTATATCTTATACAGATGAAGCTTTTTTCGGTAATCCTTTACCACGAACAAAAATGAATAAAAAAGTAATTAAAAACTTTGTTATAAGTTAAAAACAATGATAAAAATACGATACAAAATATTGTAAATTTGAACCAGAAATTGAAATGGAGTGATATTTTTTTTACCTATATATATATATATATATATATATATTGTGAGGTTTTCTTGGCGCGCATGTTGGTTGAATGTTTTATGAATCGGTTGTGTGCATGCTGGTAGAATATGGTATGAATTGGTGCTGGTATGGCATTGAACGAATGCAGGCAAATTGGTTTGTATGTAAAAGTGTGTAAGAGTGACACAAGGACTTCATGGTCAGTATGTTTGAGACAATTGTTTCTCAAGTAGTCTTGTATGGTTGTATGTATTAACTCTGATTTTATATTTGTGTGAAAAGGAAATCGGTTTTTTTCTAGTGAGGTTCTTAGGTGGTTTTTTAGTGTGGTTCTTATATTGTTTCTAGTTGTATTCTCGGTTCTTAGTTAAATTTTATAGTTGGTCCTCGGTGTTTCTCTGCGTAATTCTTGGTTAGTTCTTGGTGATTCGTTTCTGGTAAGTGTTACTATTTTATTAGTTCTGTTACAAGTGCTGTTCTGTTATCTTTAGATATTGGTTTTATTTAGTTATTCTGTTCAGAACATTTGATATTATTTATTGTTTGTTTAAAGCTTTAAAAGTTGTTTTAGTTGAAAACATTTGAAACTCGTATTTATTTTGAAAGACACTGTAAGTTATTTGTTTGGTTTTAATAGACGTGCTTGAATTAGTTTCTGTTCGACTCTCTAAAACATGACACGTATGTCAGAAAAAGACTTGCCAACGGTTAACAAGTTAACCGCGCAGCCGGTCTTTTCCAACTCGGAGACAATTCATTATGGAGAGATGAGTACCGGCCAAAAACGAGACAGCATAGGCTGGCTGCCGCGTTTGGTAGTGTACAGAAAGAGAATGGTTTCCGCCGCGCAGCAAAAGTTCACTATATATGTCTATTCCTATATATATCGGAAGGATATATATATATTTATTTGGATTAAGTTTGTCGGAATTGTCGAATACCGAAAAAAGTTTTTTGTTCTATCATGCATGAAATAAACGAAAATTTTGGTTTTGAGCTAAAGAAACTTGAAAATGATTTACGATCAACTGTTAGAAAAATCGAAAAGTTAAATTGGAAGTAAACTAACGCCGAACATGCCTTGATTTTCATCAATAATTGCATATATTTATTTATATATATAAGATTAGCGCAATCACTCAACGATATAAATTATGATGAGTATTATTATAATAATAAATATTATTATTATGATAATTGTTGCTCTGGGGCAAGATGCCAATTACTCTTTGTCCACTATGTCAGGCTCGTTAAACTAATAAGCATGTGTTGTCAAACTGCAGTTTGATTTCGTCCCTGAAAAGATATACAACACGTTACAACAATATACTATCGATGATTTTAGAAAAAATTCAATCATTTGCAGGTGCGGATGTATTGATCTACGCAGATTCAAATTGCAACAAATATTGATACCTTCCAGTATCATCTCTCTTCAATTCACTTCGTCCAGATATTGCCATTCGATGAGGTGATACTATCGAAATGCTGGAATTAACAGTTTGCCACGAATCTAACTTCTCTAAATCTAAGGAATATAAAACATCAAAATACTTTTAAAATCTTAATAACAATTTGATAGACGAATTGAAAAGCTCAAATATTATATTAAATTCATTTGAAATTTTCCCGCTAGGTTTTTTAAATATTTTAAACTATTATTAATTAATTTTATTTGGTCAGACCCTTTTCATAGAAATTTAATTAATTCCGTAGTATCGTCATCTTACGCAATTTACTGTGATAGGGACACGATTTGAACATAATTTAATGCTGATCCTATTTCTCTTTGTGCCCATTTAAAATGCATGGCGAGCATTGTAGAATATCTATTTAATTTACATTATAAATTTTATTATTTTAACTTTATAATTACAATGTATGTTTTAAAATAAAAATAAAATGATGGTAATTGGTAATGGTAATTCTCATGGTAATTGTTGCACTGAACTATAAAATTAGAACTAGAAGGAAAATATCGTTATTTTACATGGGGATCATAATTAAAATATACTAGCATATTCTCAACAATTCTACTTCTAACTTCTCTACTCTTACTTTCGGTTATATAATTCCATGGTTGGCTCTGATGATGACATAAACTGTCGAAACGACATATATATATATATGTCGTTTCGTAAATATAATATATATATATATATATATATATATATATATATATATATATATATATATATATATGGGCTTGTTGCTACCATTTCGACAAACTTGTTTTATTCGCTGTTGATGCAACTTCACTAACTAAACTGACCACGCATCAATGATACTGGTTAGTTGTATAATTTGTGATTTATTGTGTGCTATTTTAGACAAATTTTTCATGTTATGTTATGTAAACATTTAGGAGTGAATAAATAAATAGATCGTAAAAGATAGTCAGTGCGCTGCGACCTGGGCAAAATCAGAGGTCCGTCCTGGGTTTTTTCATTCTGTAGTTATTGTTTATTTATAAAAAACTAACTAAGGTATAACCATCAATGAATTAATTGAGTGAGCGCTGACCTAAACAAGTAGAACAATGAATGAATCTTTGCTATTATTTATTATATTATAGTATATTATATTATTATTAAAATTATTACTATTATTATTTATTATAGAGTAATAATTTGTTCATAATAAATGAGTTAGTTAGATAATGCTTGTGAGTGGGTTGGTTGAGAGGTGATAAAAATATTTTTTGCTTAGTTGGTGGTAATTACTTCAGCGTACAAAATAAATTAACAGACTCTGTTATAAATACCGCAACATTATTTTTTGCTTAACTGGTGGTAATTACTGTTGTGCACAGTATAAATTATTATTTTTATTATCTAAACTATAAAGAAGGTTAAATTTGAAAATGTGATAGTATTCAGACATTAGTATTTTGCTATTTAGTAATACAAATTTCAATGTTTAAACTGTTTTAATTTTGTTGAATTGGCATTATGACTGAAAACGTGGTTTAACAGATTGTGCATGGAAAATCAATTTGCTCCACCATGTTTATAGTCATAATGAGACAATCGTTTCAACAAAACTTACAGTTTGAACACTGACATTTTTATTATTAAATAGCACAACAATACAAAAAATTTAAATGAATATCAAATGTTGTTTACATATTATCATTACCTATATGCATCATTGCTTTGCGGTTTACGCTTGTCCGGATACAAACGAAAAACATCTGTAGGCACCTTATGATTTTGGTGTTCAAGAACTACCGTTTAACCACAAATCTATTAAGCACCCTGTTTGACCTGAAAAAATACAAATTAGAACAAGTCAGTTAACTTGATGCTGTAGCATTCTTAAAATCTTTCTAATTGCAAGTAACATTAGTTATGTAAGAATCTGCCATGAAAAATTAAAGTGCTTTGACCTATAAATGCAAACATTTCATTGATACATATGCAATAGTCAGCTGAACAGGACAGTCTCTAGCATTCTAGCATATGTGGTAGTTAAGCCACTCTTTCCCTGTCCCTTGGATTTAGGATGTCCAAAGTGCTTGTACTGCCAGTGCGTGGATTGAAATTTTACATCTTCTGGCAACTAACTCTTTTCAGAAACCTGGAAAATTTAATTTGCATAAATAACTGAAGAGTTTCATTTCTAAAAAACTTTTTTACACACCTTTTCACTGTGTACCTGCGCAGTTACATTTTTTGTTTTGAGCAATGGGTGATAGTTTTTGTTGGCAAATTTGTCAACGTAATCTTGTGCAGATTGTGCAGTCTCAAAAGTCATTCCTTTTGTGAGTTCCATTATGAAAAATTGAAACAAAATTATTATTAGTTGTAGTAGAAATCACAAGTGAGCTACATACATGTGCCTGAGAATTACAAATGAGCGATATATATGTATCTACCAAAGGTTTAGTTAAATTACCATAGACAAACGTTTACTGTGGCTTTAACAATTTGCTATTTTACCATGGATGGAGATTTATCCATAAAAAACATAAAGCGATAATTTTTTAAAAATTTATCTTTTTTTTTATTTTCCCAGTTTTTATTTTTTTTGTTTGATATTTTATTAAACTAAAGACTTTAAATAGGAAAAGTGTTGATATCTAATGAGGATCACATACAAAATATGGAAAACCAAACTTGTATTGACAAAAATCAAAGGTTTGTTGAAAATTTGAGTGATTCAAATCAGAAACTTTAGGACCTTAGGTGATGATATATGTGACTTAATTCTAACCAGGTCTAAATTCTTAATGAATGACACTACAAATGAGTCTAGCAACAGCGATTTTACACTTGGTATTAAAGAAATTAGTTTTACTGACCACCACAACACTGATTTAGAAAGTTGGCATTTACACGGAAATTCTGATAATAATGAAAATATACCTGAAAATAATGTCAAAAGAGGTAATATTTGATTGTTAATAAGTTATTTATTTATTTATTCAATCATAATTAGTTATTTATTTATTTTGAATCGAACATGATATAAAAATCAGAAATAATAAGCTCCCAACTTGGATTGTTTTTTTTTTAAATTTTTGAAAAATGAATTATCATTACAGACAGGGCTGTGACAAGACAATATTTTTTAAAAACAAGCGTGACAAAGACATTGATAGCTCAAGACAAGACCGAGACAAGATCTTTGAAGAACATGTCTTAAGACATCTAAGGACAAGACAAGAAATCTGAGACAAAAACAAGACCAAAACATCAAAATTTGAAAAATCAATTAGGATTTTTAAAGAAATCAGATTTGAGCTGGATTTTTGTCACCTATGTTTGAATAATTGTATGTATCTGCTTATGTTTGTGTGTATATTTGTATACACGAATGTACACTAGGGTGCCAATGAAAATTGAAGTTTATGTGATGTTAAGTCTCACGGGCTAGATTTATTCCTCTATATACCGAGCTAACACAGAAAAAATTTCAGAAATATCGGACAATATTTACAGGTTGCACAATGAACTCCAAGTATAGCATACAAGGGTTGAGAACTTCTTATCTCATAAAATAGCTTCTATTACAATGTTAATGAAATTTACACACAACAACCAGATTACTTTCAATCTACTTTAGTTCTTACAGAGTTCTTTGACAATGACAGGCTTCTTTGACACGGGAAACTGATGGCGATGATGCTCAACAACCTGCAGGAGAAACGATCTATCTCCATGGCCTGTAAGAATTTGTTGGTGTTTAGGGACACTAGGTGCGATAACTGCAACTATGTCACAATACTTTTATCTATTGAGTTGTTTTCAGGTGCAGGATTCTCCAAAGCTGCTATCATCTGTACCTTTTCAGCTGACTGCAACTGTGTCACAATACTTTTATCTATTGATTTGTCTTCAGATGCAGGATTCCCCAAAGCTGCTATCATCTGTACCTTTTCATCTGCTTTAATTTCTTTGTCAAAAAATGCTAGCCCAACTTTACTTTCATTCATGTACCATAAATGACGCATAAATGTATTTGTAGCTGCACACGCAACTTGATCGTCTTCACTGTTGTCATTACTGGTGGTAAACAAGTCGTTCCTTTGGCCTTGATTAGACTCAGCCTCTAATTTTTGAGCAATCTGAACAAAATTTTTCCTGCTTGTAACCGATATGAATAGGAAAACTTTTAGGGCGTGATACCACGGAAAAATAGCATTTTATTTTTTCTCATGCAACAGATTAGCACCTTAATGTACACATGATACATTTATTTGTTTAATGTGAACATGAAAGAAAGTGTTTTTTATATATGCAAATCATTTGAAGCGTGAAGAATTACGATCGTTTCGCCTGGATCATCTGATTGATGTGACTATCTTGATTATGTCCAAATTACTCTAACCGACATTAACATCAAATGAATGAGAAATTTGTTCAAAATATTTTAACATGCGATGCATTCATGTATAATCACACGTTATTAATACATACAAATGTTCTAATATATATTTAATGTGTGCTTATAGAAGAATTTATCAGAAATGACTTAGAAATGATTAATACATACAAATGTTCTAATATATATTTAATGTGTGCTTATAGAAGAATTTATCAGAAATGACTTAGAACATTGTATATATTCAAAATAATTTCCTGTCAGCCTCTTGTTTTCAAGACTCATCAAGACAGTAAAAAAACGAAACCAAGACTGATATCGTTTTAAAACAAGACGAGACAAAGTCGAGTCTAAAATTTTGACGTCTCGAGGCGAGATCAAGACAGTATAGAACTTGTCTTGACGAGATGTTGTCTCAAGATGCCACAGCCCTGATTACAGATATAAATATGAGCAGCATATATATTTATGATCGAATATGGCCTATATTATATATTTTCTTGCCTAAATGTAGGTCATATATTTATGATCTGTATTTAAGTGACAAAATACATTTCTGGATAAAACTTCATTAAAACAGTTCAGATAATTAGATCCTATATTATAGCCGATTTTGTATTATTTCGAACCAAAAATTAAAGTTATACAACAACAACACACGTTTAGACGACATTTTCCCCGAGATCGGGGGTTGCCGTTTGGCTACCTATGATGAAACCGAATGTCATCATAAATATTTTATTGGCTAATTTTAACGCAGGACGCCCTTCCTTACGCAACCACAGTTATAAGCGGTGGGCCTAGCCTTTGATGATCCAACATCACTCACAAGGCAGTGAGGGTCAGTTTAATGTCATAACCAGGACCAAAAAAAAAAAAAAAAAAAAAAAAAATTAAAGTTATAATAAACTGAAAATAAAAAATACAATTACTATTTGAATGAAGTTATATAAAATTGGTTGTCCGTGAAGTAAAATAGCATTTATATATTTCAGTTATTTCTTGATTTTAGTAAGTTCATATTTGTTGATGATATTTAATGTTTCAAAATAATTTGTAGACTTCCTACTGAATAAGGTTTTATCAAAATTGTTGTTCCATTTTCTAACTCTTGTCTCGTGTTTTTTTCTGTTGGAAGCTGATCCTTTGTGCTGGCATGGTCCACCATTGCTATAGTCAGCATTCATTAACGTACTTTAAATAACCTTTGACCCTTTTATCGAAACCTCTCTAGATTATTTTTCAGAGGAATCAGCAACACGTACAACACGTGAACAAGCTTAGATCCACGCATCACTCATTACATTACATTACATGCGATAGGCTGGCATCCCTTTAGATGCCAATTCTGTCACTGCAGCAAAAGGTGAAGATGGTGCTTTATATTTTTGGTTGGATAAAAACCACATCAATGGCTATATAAGGCTGCAATTCAAGAAAAAAACCGTGTCCGCTTCTAGTTGCGCTATTGAAAAAATATTTAGCAAAAGAATATAACTAAACTGATTATAAGAATAAAATGTCAACAGATTAACAAATATATTATTTTTCAAATATGGCGTTAAGTTCGATCTTAAGTACTTGAACTTGAAGTATAAGTATTCGTACTTGTAATCGTTTTTATGTTTTGGTGCGTATATTTGAGACTTGAGTACTTGTGCATGAGGAAGAGTACTTTTGAATACACTGCTGAACTTGTGATGTGCATATTGATTGTATGCATAATTTGTTTTGTTTTTCAAAAATATTTGTGAAATTATCATTTTCAGATTGGCAAGTTGAGCGTGAAGAGTTTTTTGGTCATAAATTCAATAAAGGTTAGAATAATGTTCTTGTTTAATAAATTTAAAATAATGTATTATTGATAAACACTATATCCACGGAAGAGAAATTTAAAAAATTGATTGTATTATTTAATCTCTTTAAGATTCGTACTACCCCGTTGTTTTTGTTGTTACCTCTAGAAAAAATTTTGTGGTGTATAATTTTTATTGTCAAGGGTAGTTTTTCAAACTTGTTGATCTTCATTGATATTTGCCTTTTCTGACTGACCTGATTTGTTACACAGATGCTGGTTTGGACCTTTACTTAATTGGGGATTTAACTTTTGTTGCGGATTTTGGTCTGTATTACAGTATGCCCGGGTTATATCCACGACAACACTCTTCTTAGATGTTTTTGATAGCGTATGTTTTTTGCAGCGTTAACTTTTCCGTTTCCAAAAATACCTTAATACTTTCACAATATTCCTTTTGTTACTATCTTTGACATCTAATAATTTTCGGAATGATTTTCATCAGTTTTTTGTTGCCGAATTAGCTGAGGCGTGTTATGTCTCTTTTCATTGTGTGATGACCTGGTGTAATACTATCCGTCCCAATCTCAAAAACTATCCAACATCTTCTGCAAATGATGCGTTTCTTGTAAGTACATATGAAAATACGTAATTGTCTGGCTTTATATGCGATTTCTCCTTACGCCTATTTTTCAGTTTTAAAAGGCATGCCATGTGTTCATAGTGTTTTCTGGTTTGCAGAGTTGATGAATAACCTGATTACTGTTTTATATACACATTTATATAGAAATAATCTGTAAGCTCGACACCCCGCAAAATTTCTGTTTTTACACTTCTTTCAAAGTTTATATTTAGCAATTTAAACGACATTAGATTTGGCTTATATTTTTTACAAAAAATTTCATTGCTATTAATATTAGCAATCAAGTAAGATGCTTTTTAATTATTGAACTATAGTAATGAACTGAAGTGTTTTAATTAATTTAATGAATTGATATTGCAGATGGGAAGTTACAGGACAGTCAAGGAAAACCTTATTTATATAATTATTATGACGACCCAATTTTGAACCAGAAAAGATATGAAGAAATTTCGAAGGTAAAATCATAATGTCTTCTTAATATTTTAATGTTTGTTTTCTATTTTTTCGATTGCAAAGATGTTCCTGCCTACCACATGCAATGTATGTGATGCATTGTTTCTTGTGTATTTATATAAAGATACACTGTATGTTTGTTGTTGATACCTCTGAGAAATATTGAAGAGAGAATTGTAAAATAAATAGTATGAAAATAGTTTGAAAAGTTTATTGTAAAATAAAAGCAGAATTGTAAAATAAATAGTATGAAAATAGTTAGTTTGAAAAGTTTATTGTAAAATATAAGCATGGTTTATCTGAATTCATTGTTAAAGTATTTTGAAAATTATGTTCATTATGCATCATGGTTATCTGTATATATCATATTTTCATGCAGGAAGTTACTGATTTCATCTATAAGTTGATGGTAGAAGTGTACGGTTTATCAAGAATTTGTATCCCGGTAAGATTAAAGCTAGTTTGATTTAATAAATCAATAAACAAATTAATAAAGTCTGCATTAAGTTGATGTTTTATTTAGTTTTGAATGTTAATTCTGTTATATTGAACAAAATTAGTGTAGATGGTTTGTTAGGCTGTGTTTATCTTATTTACAATATGTAGGTCTGTTCATGCACACACGTGTATTTCTATTATTATTATTAATAATATTGATATTATAGCACTTAGTTATTATTATAATATGAAATAAAATTATTCAAACTTTTAAAAACCTAAGACATTTATTATTATTATTATTCAATTAAAATAAGCGTTTATTCAGCAGAAAATATGAAATAAAGTATACTGGGAGACCCAAAGAAACAATAAAACAAGCTCAATAACCCCTCTACTTTCTTTAAGAAAAATTCCATCAGCATGACCGCTGTCACAAAAGAGGCCAAGGTTTTTGATCATCTAGCACAATCAGTATGTTGATAGCCCGCCAAAGCAGTTTTGAACACTTACCATATTCCGACTTATATTTGGCCAGGACATTGTTATTTTATTTTCACACGGACGATGAAGACTCTCCAATTCATCTCTCCAAGCTTGCCAACTCACCTCAGAAAAAGACTGCCTATAACGTTGCTCATAACTTTTGACATTTCTTCTGCTCAGCGAACATTTGCTATCAAACTTTGGACCATTTTACACCACCACATATTGAGATTTTAGGGAGTTATCGGTCACTATGAAATCAAGGGGTGTTACTATTTTGTAACTTTATAGGTTGAATGGTTAACCTGTTGAACCAATCCAAATGAGCTAAGGGTGTTACGAAATTTCATGGCCAAGTCATCACCAGGATGGCCCATATAAATGTTGAAGTCACTCATTATCAGCAAACTGAAGCCTTGCTAATGACAACAACTGACAAAATTTATTCAAGAACACCTGACCAACTCCTACCAAACCCGACAACCCGGTCGATACACCACTACTGCCAGACGAGACCTTGAATCATGACTGGAACTTTAAAGGAACTAAAACCGTGTTGTAAACCATAAAGGTTTACCGGAAACCTACTATTATAAAAATAGCCAGACCGCCACCTCGAGACACCATCTATTTGGCTGATTTCAAGGTGAGTGCCAAGGACAGTGCCAAGTCATCACCGGATTGATTCTCTTTGTCAATGCCATAACATCAACATCTTCCATTGTGATAGCCGATGAAATTTTTAAAGCAGATTTTGCATTTATTAAACCAACTTTAATTTCCACTTGTTTTATCATACCAGCAACAGAATAAATTGTACGCTAGTAACGAGGTGTCTTGAGTTGATACATTAAAAGTAAACCACTGAGTGACCTAATGTTCCGTAGATTCCCTGACCATCAACTGAGTAAAAATTCCATAGAACAAGTTATTATCATTTTCAACCGTATTCGTATTTAAAAAGAGGTTAGAACATCTAATAACATACAAAAGTGGACCATCAGCCACGCAAATTGATTTCTTTGCTTTCAAGCAACAGCACCGAAGGCTATTCAAAAATGTCAAAGTTATACCTGGCGAATCATGTGTCGCCAAAACCAAAACCCAACATAGACTTCTTGTGGCAGACCTGGTTGTCAACCTGTCAAAACATAAGTCTAAACAAATGCCTCGGAGAATCAAAACGTGGAAGCTGAAAAGCAATATTCATTGAAAAAAATTTCAACAGATAGTTGCCACACAGTTAGACCACCAATCGCAATCCAGTACAGATTGGAGTACATACAAAACCGTTTTGATAAACGCTGCAACTACAGTTTGTGGGAAAACTGGTACAAAACGCAGCATGAACTGGACACTTTGTGGTGGAATGACAGTGTTCAAAATGCAATAGCTGAAAAGAAAGCTGCATACAAGCAATTGCAAAAATCAAAGTCTGTTGATGACCACAAAATTTTCCGTGAGAAAAACAACTATGCACAACGTCAAGTTGCACTGGCTCGGACAGATCAGTGCAGAAAGTGGCTCACTAAAAGCAAAGGTGAACAAATGAAATCTTTGTATCGTATAGCAAAACAAGCAAAGCGTACGAAAAAAGACATAGTTGGTGCCTCATGTATCAAAAACAACAAAAATGAGATGGTTCTTAAACAAGATGAGATTAAGCTACAGCAATACTTCAACCGTCTGTTAAATGAAACAAATCCCATCAATGTCAACTTTGACGCTCCACCTATCGAAGGTCCGATTACAAACATCACTGTAGAAGAGCTTACAGAAGCTCTGAAAGCTATGAAGGATGGAAAGGTAGCAGGGCCTTCTGTACTCACAAATGACATTATTATGCATCTAGTACTGCAGGTATCCAAACGTTACTACAACTTTGCCGTGAAATCTGGATAAATTGTTCAATGCCGACTGAATGGAACTATAGCATGACAGTTCCGCTATACAAAGGCAAAGGTGATCCATTGAACTGTTCATCATATCGGGGTATACGTCTGTTAGAACACTCCCTGAAAATTGTCGAGAAAATCATTGAGAGAAGATTAAGGTTGTGCATCACAATCGGAAATTATCTATTTGGTTTTCTAGCGGGGAAATCAACAATTGATGCAATTCACATCCTTCGGCAACTGCAAGAGAAGTTCCTCGCAAAGCATCAACAACTATCACACATTTTTGTAAACCTTGAAAAAGCATTTGATCGAGTTCTCCGTGAAGCAATCAGGTGGAGTCTACGTCGACAACTCATTCCAGAATATCTTGTTCAACTTGTGATGGAAATGTATACGAATACTAAGACTCTTGTCAGCATAACAGTTGGAAACACAAATGTATTTGACATCGGCGTTGGAGTTCACCAAGACTCGATCCTCAGTCCACTGTTATTTATAACTGTGATGGAAGAAATCACAAAACCGATACGCACTGGTGACATTTGGACTCTAATATATGCTGATGATATTGTTTTAACAGCCACGTCTGAGCAGAGTGCAGCTCAATTGTTTGAAGATTGGAACACCAGACTGCCGATCATGGATTCAAAGTCAACATCAGCAAAACCAAAGCAATGAACACTGGTGAACCCATTCAATCCACAGCTACTGGACGATGGCCCTGTTCAGTTTGTAAAGCTGGTGTAGGTAACAATTCAATCAAGTGTCAGCAGTGTAACCAGTGATGTCACAAACGTTGTTCAAAAATAATTTGTACTTTATCTAAAGTGTCCAATTTTGTTTGTCCTGCTTTCATCAATCCACAACGACAAATACAAAATAACAATGTTTTTGAAGCCATTAAGGTAGAGAAAGTCACATCGTTTCATTATCTAGGGGATGTTCTGGATTGTACTGGAACAGCTGAAGCTGCCGTTCCAGCACGCATACGTGCAGCCTGGAATAAATGGCATCTCCTTGCCTCTATTTATGCGGCGTGACACTACCACTACGATCAAGACTTTATAAATCCATGATACGTCTGGTGTTGTTATATAGTGCAGAAACATGGCCAATGACAATCAAATTGGAACAACAACTTCAACGAACCGATATGAAAATGCTCCGATGGATGCAACGAATTAGTCTGAAGGACCACATCAAATTTACCGAAATCCTGCGTCGTGCTGGTTTACATGATATAAAAGACGAGTGCCGGCAACACCGTCTGCGGTGGTTTGGTCATTTCAAACGAAGTGGAAACAGTGCCATAACTTCTCTTGCAGATGTTGAAGTACCTGGCACACGTTCCAAAGGCCGTCCAAAGAAGTCCTGGTCGCAAACAATCGAGCAAGACATGAAAGCTCTAAATTTAAATGAAATGGATACAACTGATCGCCTAATTTGGCGGAAAAAGTTGATGGCAAAAAAAACAACGTCCTACCTCGGAGAACTAAGTCTCTGGACGCTAAACGATGATTGATTGATTGAACCGTATTTAGTGAAAAACCACGTTTACAGCGATCAAACAAGAAACCTGGATGTCCATACGTGCGATATTGGAGACGGATGTAAAACTTCAAAATCAACGGCCGTCAGAGTTAATTTCAACCAAAACTAATCAAAAACATAAAATCATTTCATTAAATTAAAATTTAAACTTCGAACAGGAATTAAAGGGATTTAAACAGATAAACTATTCCAACTAAAAATACAATCGCGCTCATAGAAATGCGAACATAACCATTACTCAAGTCCATATATTTTTAAAAAAGTAATATTTGTATATGTTGCAATTATTTCATAATAATGACTAATGATCAAATCAGTTCAATTCAAATAGTGTATAAAAAATTAGGGTTAAAGTTAAATTACGAATATTAGATTTAAAGGCATAGCCTTAGACAAAAATCCAATAAATCAAACAAGGGGAGAAAACAGTTGTATACCGATAATAATGTAGAATTTTGTCGGGCGACATTCGAATTCTTTTTCACGCGGTTTCCAACCGCGCCCAAATTCGGATTTCGACCCGAGCCTTCATCTCTTTTCTGGCCGGGAGCTGCCATTCTACAATAGACTGTCGGAAAGCCTTTTTCAACGTTCTTCATTTTGGACAAATTAATCGAGTCAAGCAAAATTTTAGTATACATTTCTTTTATTAAATGAAAAGAAAACAATAAAAATCAAACCTCTGCCAATATCAAACATATATACAAAACAAAATAAAACGAATCAAACTATGTTGCAAAAAATTTAAAACCAATCGCCAACCTACAATCTATTAACTAAGACAAAACAAAAAGCCAAGACCGAACCAAGAGACCCTGTCCATCAACTCACATTTAAATGAACATTTCTATATATGTCTGTTTTGTTATTATCTATATCATATATGCGACGCTTGCTACGTGCTCTTTGTACATATATTAAAAAAATGCACATAAAAAATGCGTTCTGTATATATATATATATATATATATATATGCAATACAGAAGAAGTATAGAAGCAATAAAGTTGACCTAATCGCAAAATGTTCAAAAAGTATAGAGAAAAGTACAGGTTTTTTGAATGCCTTACTTACATAACAACTTTCTATAACAGTGAATTGATTATGCAGTTAAGCTAACAAAGGTTTTCAACTATTATTACAAAAACCACAATCATCCGTTACTTAAAATATCGGTGATCAACCAATTGAAGTTAATAAAACAAAGCGCATAAGAAAAAAATTAGCAAAACAACACAGTCATAATCAATGACGAAATATCTGAATTTTTACCTGTGACCACATGCAAAATATGGTATTTTTGGCCTATGTAAAAACATGATTTTGTAGCACGGAACAATGTATAACATTTATACTTACATTTGTAAAATGTTTGTTGATACTTCTTCTGGAGCATTTGCGTCTTTGATATCACGATAGTTATTTTTCAGATGTAATTAATTTCAAAATATTATGTGCTAAAATACCATAAAAATTGTTAAAAGTTGCATAAAAAAATTGTCTAATTATTGTTTGTTTCTATCTGGTAAATTATTGTTTTTTTAATTCAGTTTGATGCCAATGAAAATGAACCCAAAGGTTTCTTTTTTTCAAGCGACACAAAAGGAACAAGAAAAACTAACGACAAACTATTGATTTTGATTCATGGGAGTGGGGCAGTTCGAGCTGGTCAGTGGGCTAGAAGGTAAACAAGTCCTTTTTTTTTTGCTTATAAAATTATTCACCCAAAACCGTTTGATACTACTGAATAGTCTAGATAAGAAAGAACTAATATGATAAAAGTTAATGATGTTAAAAAGTATATAATTAAAATAAAAAAAAATGGACAGTATAAATTTATAAATTAACAGTTTACACCATCACTTTACACAATCACTTTGGCGTAATTGTTGAGTTTAGTTACATTTCGTTTTTACGAAGAATAGTTTTTGTCCGGTTTAATTGGAAAAAGAATTATGTTGGTTTTTTATTATAAATACTAAATAATGTATAATCGGGACTAGATTTAATTAATTAGCTCTCTAAAATGATGTCATCTAACTATTGCCATTTAACTAGCTATCAAGCTATAGCTATCCAACTGTAGCCACCATCTAACTAAAGCCATCAAACTAAAGCCATCAAACTATAGCCTTCTAACTATAGCCAATTGAAAAGACATCCGATACACTCGATCATATTTTTCACCTAATATGAAGATAATTCTCGTTTTGATACTCGCCAGCACCAATCTTTAAGGAATGTTCACCAACCAAATTTTATTATTCACCATCTGACATTTGCCAACTCTAAATTAAATTCAATTAAATTATCTCTCACTTAATTTCATATTTTGTTAACATTGGTTTTCATTTTACCACTTTTCTGTTATACTTACAGTATTCTACCCTTATCTTCCTAGTCAATCTATAATGTGTATTCTATCACTCCTTTCACTCTTTATTTTATTTGTTTTCTTTATTTTCACTTTTTTCAAGACTTCTTTATTATTATAATTATTTTCATTTTAATGTCATTTTCATTTTATTATGATCCATATGTAAGAGCATGTAAATGTATGTATGTATATTTGGTATGTGTATTTATATCGCTTTATGTACTTACGGAGTTCTATAAATAAATAAATAAAAAATAAATAAATGTTCATTAACTTTTCAATTGGTAATAAGCACGATATTCTTTAGCTATTTTGTAGGTTATTTTAAACGATCAGATCATTTCATTTTGAATACTCCTTCGATCTCAAACGAAATGAATTTATCCTCATATCTAAATGCTATTCCTGAGCCTATTTAAAATATATAAATTCTGAATTAATTTCTTATAATTTTTTGTTTTTACACATTGAACCGAGACAAAATTTTTTATTTTCAAGCATCATAATGAATGACAGTTTGATGGACGGCTCCCAAATTCCATACATAAAGCAAGCCTCTGACGAGCACTACGATGTGATTGTTCTCAATACTAATCTTAATTATCAAGGGAATCATTTATATATCAGAGTAAGTTATTTAGGCCACGGAGTATGCAAATATGCAAATACATATACATGCATGCATGTGTATTTACTTACATACGTAGACACACATTTACATACATATATACATTCATTAACACATGCAGATACATACAAACAAACACAAAACACACATACATACACACACTCACCTATATACTTTTCTACGGTTACACGCAAAAATGAGTTACATGTGTTACATGTGTGAAATAAAATATTGAGTCAGAGTTTTTTTGTTTTAAATAAAAAGTAACTAAGTGGAAAAATAATAAATAAATGAGTGAATAAATAAAATGTGTATTATGATAATATATTAGAAAACAAATCAACAGACAGATTCTATTGACTACTAATATATTTCAGGTGTCATGGAATGAAATTTTATCTTGATAGGTTGACTGAGTGCTGGTCTGGTACTTGTGTTTTCGTTGACGAAGGTTGTGAGTGTTCGTTTTGATTGGTGGTTGTTGTTGCCGTCGTCTTCGTTGTCGTACCTCACCATGGGGGTGCCTCAACATATATTTCATGCATTAATAATAATAACAATAATAATATTGCGTGCTCAGAAATCGAAGGTTTCCGCGTTTACGCCGTGCAAGCAACAACATCGCCTGGTCGTTGCACCAGATTCATTAAAGTAAAACAGTAGAGCTGGCGATGCAAATGGGTGCCAACCCTGCCTCTCACACGGGTTTTTGATGGTGATGGTTGTTCTGAGTGGCATGATGACGTGCGTTGTCTGGGAGGGGATTGTTCAATAGGAAGGATGGATGATTTGTACGTTCATGTTCAGGATTTCGGAGATTGGGCGAGAAAGAGAGAGTTTTAAGATTTTTGCTAGAGGAAACCGAAATAAGGTAAAAACTTGTAAAAAGGCTTCCTTGTCAAAAAATTAGTTATAATTGAAGAAATATTTTCCACCAATGTTCAAGAAATGTAATACATAAATAAATTAAAAAAATTGAGCTATAAAATGGATTAATGTGATGTTCATGGTTTTACCTCTGGTAAGCTGGGAGCTAATGCCTCAAATTTCGGTGAGAAGGATAATGATTATGACCAGAGTTGCTTATCACGTACTTGTATATTTAGTTGTATTTCTAATATATCTGCATTTTAGTTGGTGCGTGTTTGTTTATATTATATACTGTTATTTTTTTTTATTATTTATATTTAGTTGTTTATAATCATACGTGGTGTACATTTGAAGTGAAATATTGTCCTAATATTCTATTTTAAATTTATAATTTAATCAGGGAAGCGAATCTCCTGAAAAACATGCTAACTATATTTGGGAGAATTATATAATGCCTAACAAGAACTTCAGACAAACAGCTATTGTGGCTCACAGTTATGGTGGAAAGGTGGTGACGAATTTGGTTAGCATATCATATTCAATTAATCTATATCTATTATGAAAATTTATATAGCGCTTTGTCAATAAACTTCTCGAAAGCGCTTTATAAAAGTAAACTTGATAACTTGTCAAGCAGTTGATGGTTAGTGTGTGGATTGATGTTGCTGCTAAATTCCCAATTGCCCAAGTCATGCCTAACGTATGCTGATTTTAGATTACGATTGCAAAATATCGCTTTTCGCCTTTTTTTGACAACGGGGAAAATGTAGAAAGTTAAAGAGAGTTAAAGCAGAAATGCTTTTTACGCCTTAAGTGCCGAAACGTTGATCTTGTTTGTTCTCATCATCGTCCTTTTCAGCATTGCTTTTTATCATCCATCGTTTTTCAAAAGTTGTTTACTTTTTCGTTATACATTGGATAATTGATTTTTCAGGTTTAAGTTGAGAACTCTTGAAAATAAATGTTATAAAATTATGGTAATGATATAAATTTTTTTACACCCTTCTTTCATCATTCGTCTTGAAGCACGTCATAAATGTTGATTTAAAAGATTTTTGGAATTTTTTAACTTTCTAGCAAAATGTTGTAAGGGTAGACGTGAGAAAAAGTAATGTTCTGAAATTCCCTAGCTTTCCAAGATATTTAGATCTTGGGTTGGAAACAAACAATTTTATATAAAAATTCATAATTGAATACTATTTTTAAAAAATTTTGAAATTTTTTACAGTTATCTATAATTTTAACGTGTTTGTAATCAATTTTGCAGGCAAAAAACCAAAAAGAAAGCTTTTTAAAAAGAGTTTTTGCAGTGGCATTCACGGATGCCGCAGTTTTTTTAGAGGAATGTGATGAAGAAACAAGGGAATTTTTCAAAAATGTCATTTGTTATTTATCTATACTTTTTAGTTTTATTCATTTTGCTGAAGCGTTTATAATATTTTTTGTTTATTTTTTCTAATTGTTTCTTTCCAAGTTGTAGCGTCATTTTCATGACTTTTGAAATTTCGAAATAATTTGATTTCGTTAAGAATTCACAAAATTGGGTTGCGGGAACTGGTAAATTGGATGAGCCAGTCATCACCGATTCAGCAGATGTTACGTGTCCAAAGGTTTCAGCTGGTAATTCTAATTTTTTTCACGTTTAATAATTTATGAATCTATCTATGTATCTATCTATATATATATATATATATATATATATATAATATTAATTTTACTGCATATTTAGGTCACACAGAACATGTATGGACTTCAGCAACCAGTATGAGCTCGATTTTTAAATATTTCAAAAAGAAAAGCGATGAATGGAACATTGAAACTAATGCAAGCTTTGAAATAATGAAATGTGCTCATACCAAGGAGTGCTCAGAAGAATGTGACAATTTCGTTCTAAAATATCCAAATGACAATAAACAGATTTCTGATACAAATGAAAGTGATGTGAAAGTTGATAATACTTTGATCTTAGAAAACCAATCTGAATGTATATCTACTTATTCAAGCATTAGTAGAGACAATGTCGATAGTACAGAGACTGATCTATTGATAAATAATCTTGTTAATAACGTTGCCAAAGTACAACTCGGTTAAAGATAAAATAACATTACGGGATCGAATTGTATCGGAACGTTTTTATTACTTTCATTATAATGATCAATACAAGTGTTTTCGTTCAGTTGTTATAAAGACTTAAAATACTCAAATTTATGCAGAAATGTTCCAGCAAAACTGTATTTTTATAAACAATTCAACTTTGGTTGATTCGCAGTAGGATAAACCACACTCTTCTGCACCATTCTGTTACCATGGATTTTCTTGTTTATAATTGCACCAATTTAAGAGAATGCACACGCGTAGCGGCATATCAGGAGTATGTGAACAGCTTTCATCTTAATCGCCACAAGTCTGAGACACTGATTGTCAGAACAAGTCAGCAGTTGCTGAAATTCTTACTGCAAGATTTTGATATAGATGGATCCGCATTGCCAATCTCAAACTCTATCAATGTGCCACATTTGACGAATATCTAACTTCCGATAAACTTACATATATCAGAAGTCATTAAATCACGCGCTTACCATCTTTGTCCTGTTACTATGATGATATCATAAGTAAATATCATATCCTATCTGAAGTAAATTATTGTAATTCTCCCTTGTATGAAACTTCCCATTTCTATCTACATGAATAGCACTGCAGATGATTAAAAAATGGTTTGACTTTGGTCTTTGTTTTGCGTTATGCGTCCATTCGTGTTGCTTTGATGGGTGGTGAGTGAGCCACTGAAATCAAATGAAACTTCCGTTCAGGCGTTCAATCACTATGGTCTTCCTGACTCTATCCTTTAAGTAAAGCTTTTAACTCTGCTGTTCGTCTAGTTGCTCGTGCCCCTTTCTTTTCTCATATATCTCCATATCTTGTTCTCTTGCACTGGCTACCTATAAAATAGTCTTCTTGTCCTCGCTTTTTCTTAATTCGTGTTAAACACTCTTTTGCCAAATCTGCTTTTGCTTTTTCTGGTCCTTTTTTCTGGAACTCTCTACCTACTTTTCTGACTACTTCTCCATCACTTGCGAAGTTCAGAGCGGATCTCAAGACCCATCTGTTTTCAAAATTCATTGAGGAGCGCTGTTGAACATCGCGGAAATAACGCTTTATAAGCTAATTGATTGAATGATTGATTGATTGGATTAAGTTCGAAAACAAGCTATGTAGTTTGTGCTGGAAATTTAAGTGTTCTTGCTAATTGACGTTGAAGACGATATTTGAGATGCAATACGATTCTGACATTATTTATGATTAAAAATACCTTCATGTTGCTCCACACAACCAACGCATTTTTGCAGACTGCGCTTTTTTTCACCAAAAAGTGCAACACAACAATATATTGAATACAATACGTTTGCGTTGGTTAACTGAAGTAAACACAAGATGTATAGGAAAATAATTTCAATCTAGATTTTATTAAATAAAGGTTATATGGTTTATTTCAAAATATTAATTAACGAGGTGGCAAATTTAGACCATGAATAACTTTATTTGTTTAGACAATGCATCAAAACTTTTAACCCATAAAGTCATTTGCTTAGGCTATTACACAACCACTAAGATATTTGTCTTCATTGGAGTTCACTTTTATTTCAATTTCGTTTACCGGGGCAGGACATTTATCTTTCTTTTTTGAATCTTTAGATGATTCCATGTTCATATTTGAATTAACTTGAAAAGACTTGTAAATATCTGATGTCCAAATTTTTGGTTTGGGTAACTGATATGCATCAGCTGTTACAACGCCGTATGTGGCTTTTAGGTCTAATTCTTCTACTTTTGCAGGTATTTTGTGATGATAGCTGAAAAAAACACGAAGTTTGAAAATTTAATTTTATAGCAAGCTCAAAAATTAATAAGCGCGCACCTAATTCGCCTCTGAAGATGATGTCAATAAAATGTTGGAAAAAAAAGAAAAAAAGTTAACTAAGAGGAGATGCCCTACAAATCTACAATGCATTCTATGTACAATACAATACATATATATATATGTACGGTTGAAGATTACACCCCATTTTGCAGTTAGAAGATTTTTAAATAAAATTTCAACAACACGAAGCTGTTTTGTTTCAACTTTATTAAACTGTGAAGTTTGGCTGACGGCCGTTTCGGCTAATGCCATCGTCGGAGCCTAGATTGTAAAACCAAATGAGGAGTTAATAATATAAATTATAAGAAATAGTAAATAGAATATTAGATATTAAAATGAATAAATAAATGAATAACAACCTATATTTTAAAATTAACTCATTATATTGTTGAAAATAAAATAAACGAATAAATTTAAAAGAAAAATTATGAATAAAATTGTTTATGTATTATCGTAGTTGAAGTGTAGAAAGTTAGCATAGTGACAAGAAGTAATGCAGAAATTATGGGAAGTCGATAATAATATTTAATGATATGACAATTTATTGAAGAATTATTAGATATTTAACAATTGGATATAATATTATTTAGCAATAAATATGTATAAAGAAATATTAAGGCGTGGCAAATAATGAAGTTAGTGAACAAATTGTTTGAGTTTTATGGCGTGAAGAGACAAACGGATTGTTGTTAATGGTGCGTTCTTGTGCGTTATATTCGTATTTATATTTGGTGTGTAGTTGCTGTCTATTGATGACGTTTGGCAATTGAGGCAGTACAACGTCGCGATATTGAGTAAAAAGTTGTAAGACGTGGGCGAAATTGTCTGACTGCGTGTTGATTGTTGGTTGATTCTAACTGCAAAATGGGGTGCAATCTTCAACCGTACATGTTTCTCTGAGAACCTCATACCAAATTATATATATATATATATATATATATATATATATATATAACGTAGTATTTTTAGAAACGTGCCTGTCGTATTTATTATTAAAACATTTACCGCATGAATACTCTTAGCAATCATGCTAGAAACTAATTCAAACATTTTTGTATTTTTGTTTCAAATGAAGTAATAGCCAATAATTTGTAATAAAACTATTAATAATTTGAAACTAACTTGATTCGAATAAATTAACAAACATTATCATGATATATTTATTTCCAATGAAAAAAAACACTCGGCAAAAGCGACACGCCTTCGTTGAGTTTTTAAAATTTGAGCCCATGAAATTCAAGATAATAAGCTGTTTATATCCGTAGATGTCTCTAAACATAGGTATACATATCACATATGCTGATATAAACATATCATACAAACGCACCCATCCACACGCAAAAACACACATAAATACAGATATATTGATATTGATTCCAAAGATTATATATATATATATATGTATATATATATATATATATATATATATATATATATTTTTATCTTTTTATTTGGAATCCCTTAACAATGAAATCGTTTGCCATGAAATCGTTTACTTAAGCTATCACAAAACCGCTAAGATCCATATTAAAACATTGTTTACAGGGGAAAATATTCCAAAAAATTACAAATATTCTTTTTTGAATATTTAGATGATTTCTTGCTCAAATTCATATCAAGGTGATAATACTTGTAAATATTTGATGTCCAAAATTTTTGGTTTGGGTAACTGATATGCATAAGTTTTTACAACGCTATACGTGGTTTTTAGGTATAACTTCCACTTCTAAAGGTATTTTGTGATGATATCTGGAAAATAACACAAAATTTGACAGTTTGATAAACGAGGGATTTCTCAGTTGTTGGACTAAAATTGTGGAATAAACTTTCTTGCCATCTTCACCATCCTGCAGTTTCTAGCTTAGTTTCAAAGCGAATAAAAGACATATCTATTTCAGACAGTGATATTGATTTTAAAAAGCTGGATTTTTGTTTAAGAAACATGTGTAATTGGAAATTAAACTAGACGAAATTTTGTTTATCAATTAATTTTAATTTGGAATTATTCTATTTATCTACTTCAACTTTTTCTGCACATGTTTGAACGGCTTGTTGCATGATTTAAAGTGGGGTTTCGGAGTTGTTTGATTTACGTAAGCAACGTTTTTTTTATTAGTGTTCTTCTTCATTTTGCAGCTCTGACATACGCAGAAGTGCTTACATACCTTTCTTTTCTTTATTCCAACCTTCGTGTCACAAAGATTGTACTATCTATACCACACGACGTACATACACTGATATACATTCCATTTTAAAAACTCGAACGCATATAAAGGCAGCAATTTTTAAACTTAACAGAGAAAAACGTAATCTCAATCGTACAAAAATCGTAAAAAAAATTGAAGCACCGTTAGATTTAGCAGCACAGTTTGTTAAGGCACACATTGCTTTCTACTAAAACTATTCAACGAAACAGCTTACACAAAAGAGCTTCAACATGTTGATTTTAGCAATGTGTTCATCGACTTTGTATATGCATTTAGTTGAATAATCCAGCGTCTGTACAACACTCGATGTCCAAAATTTTTTTTTACTTTGTAGCCAACGTTATTGAACGTCTTAAATTTTGTTGAACAGATCTTGGCTACCAAATTTACTTATTGCCTGACAGAGATGTTTATGGCTGGGCTGACATTATCATATCAAGTTTGTCGTGAAAAATTATTTTTGCATTTTTTGGCAATTAAAAATTCAGGCCTCTTCCTGGTTGAAGTCATTTGAACTGTGCAGAAGCAAAGCAGCTTTACGTAGACTTGTAGTTTATCGACAAGCACCATAGTTTAAAATGTGCTATCAGTACCTAGAAAGGATAAGCTACAGTGACTATAGAAACATTATGTTTCTCTACTTTTTGTAAAAGTAAATGATGGATACATTTTTGAAATTTTGGGGTATTTCTATTGCTACTACATCTGTACATTCCTGTACGTTTGTAGAGTTTGACTGTCAACTCTCACTGCCAGCAGCATAAATTTAAGTAGGAAAGATATCAAGTTGTTATGTTACCAATGGTAAATTTTACACGGCGGCTAATGCTTTATTTAGTTGGGAAAACCGGGAGTTAATAACTGATTTGGATTAATTCCAGATGAACAATAGTTTTTATGAAGCTAACTGACAAGCAGTGAGGGTGTTATTAAAATTTTCAGTTCAGCAGCAACCGGACATATGTTGGTCACAACATTTGTCTGAATTTCTCTTGACTTTTTGCTTTATTTTTTTGTGATTTCGCTGTGCCAATATTCTACCAATGAAATATCTCCAATTGAATTATGAATTTCACAAAATAAATCCCGTGTTTGCATTTTTGTGAACTTGGCGCATTTTGAATGCTGGGTCCTTTAAATTTTTCCAGCTGCTGCACATCTACGTTCAAGTAAAACAGTATTACTTAAATTGGAGATGAATCCAAAACGTTTTCTTTTTAATTGGCAACCGAAAAAGTGCATTGGCAATGATAAACAACTTTTAATAACTAAATTTTGATTTGTTATTAAAAGCGTTGCATCGTTGAGTTCCTGGCGTGGAACGTACGAACGAAAGCACTCCAAGTGCTTCCATTTGTTCACAAGACATTACTTCAAGTTCTACAGTCAAATAAGATTTAGCATTAAAACCATCAGTTATATTAACTTGTTTGTTTTCAGGTTTTGTAAACTTTTCTTAATGATTCATTGAAAACAGTTATGATTGAAAGTATCTCGTTTAACGTTTTACATGCACCGGCGGGAATGACATGACACCTTGGAACTCGTCACACCACCACTCACCTAGTCACGTCACCAGTCATCGAACGGTTCTCTGCTTCATTCATTTGCCAGGCCGACCGACCGGCTTGTTTACATTTCAAAAATGCAAAGCCAACACCAGTCTTGTGTCTTTTCTCGTTGTTTAAGCTAATAAAAAAAATACAGCACGGCGCAAGTTGTGAAGCTAATTAGTCATTGAAAACATAACGTGATATATATTATATATATATATATATATATATATATATATATATATATATAGGGTCTATGAAAATCATAAATAGTATGTAGAAATTAATTCAAATCAATTTAATCCAAATAATACTAACATCAACCCGTTTTCCAACAAGCATTTGTCAAGTGTGCGATGAATAGTTGATCCAAGTTTTAGAAAAAATGAATTTGTTAAGAGATTCGCCTGAAATCCAGGACCATCAGTTGACAAATACAATTTGCCACGCTGCTCTGCTTTTGTGTAATCTGTCATGTTGCAAAAATTGATATGACTGAAGTGACTAATTTTTTATCGGAAGATAGATTTATATGATAGTGGTTACTCTTTATCTGAAGATAGATTTATATGATAGCGGTTACTATTATTTTATCTGAAGCTAGATTTATATGATGGTAGTTATTATTATTTTATCGGAAAATAGATTTATAAGATGGTGGTTACCATTCTGTTTGGCATGAAGGTTTGTTGGCAACATTAGAAAGTATGGGGACATCAGAAAAGCTGGTAAAAGTACTGAAAGGACTTTATGAAGAATCAAAAGTGTCGATAATAATAGGTACAGAACTTGGGGATTGTATAAAGGCAGACATTGGAAGCAGACAGGGCGATCCAATATCATCAATACTATTCATAGCATTGCTAGAAAGAGCAATAGAAAAAATGGAAAATTAGGAATTGGGTGGAATTGACATAGGAAGGAGAAGTCAAAAATCTCAAGTTTGTAGACGATATAGACCTTCTAGCTTCTAGTGAAGAAGGTCTACAGAAACTAATTGACCTAACACATGTTGGTGGAAAAGATCACGGGTTGCATATCAAAAAAGACAAAACGAAGGTGATGATTACGGAAAAAGGCAGAAACAATGCGGAATTACAATGCGAAATTTCAGATAGAATCAGAAAAACTCAAACAAGTAGACCGGTTTGTTTATCTTGGCAGTCTTATAGCCTCTGACAACAACTGCACCAAAAAAATTGACAGAAAGATAGCAATAGCCCATGGAATGTTCGCATCATTGAAGGAAATATAGAAAAGTGGAAATATATCTATAAAAACAAAGTTGAGAATGATAGAATCTTGTGTTTTTCCGAGCTTGCTCTATGCATGTGAGACATGGACAATAAAGAAAGAAAAAAGAATAAAGAAAAGAGACAAAGACAGATTGGAAGCATTCGAGATCAAATGTTACCAAAATTTGTTGGGAATCAGTTGGAGGTAGAAAGTAAAGAATGAAACCATCAAAAATCAACTTGGAGGACAGAAAAGTGTATATAATAAAGTCAGAGAAAGAAAATTGTGATTTTTTGGACACATTTGTAGAATGAGAAAAGACAGATTGATTAAGATGGTACTAATGAGGAAAAGTGATTGGAAGAAAAAAATTGGTAGACCTGCAAAGAAATGGATAGATGACATTACTGGTGTTGGTATTCTGAATTCAATAAAACTGGCCAAAGATAGAAAAGGTTTTTGGAAAGAAAAAAGAAAAAATAAAAGTAAAAAGCAAGCTTAGATGTACACCATCGGCCTCGACGGTCCCTCGAGGAACAAAGGAGGATCATTGATTGATTGATTGATCGATTGGTTACTACTATTTTATCTGAAAATAGGTTTATATGATGGCGGTTACTATTATTTTATCTGAAGATAGATTTATATGATGGTGGTTATTTTTTTATTCAAAGATAGTGCGTGACAAGATAGTGTGTACTCTCTCAATATACCGAAGTCTTGAGTTTAAATAGTTTAAATCATAACAAATCTTCCACAAACTTTTATGCAAATCCAATTTTCATCTTACATATACTATTATTTTATCTGAAGATAGATTTATATGATGGTGGTTATTTTTTTATTCAAAGATAGTGCATGACAAGATAGTGTGTACTCTCTCAATATACCGAAGTCTTGAGTTTAAATAGTTTAAATCTTAATAAATCTTCCACAAACTTTTATGCATATCCAATTTTCATCTTACATATACCATTAAAAATAAACGCATTTAATTCTACTTAGTTCAATCTGTACCATTTTTCAGTCTGTTCCAATGTCTGTATCTGGACTTTTTTTATTCCACGTGTGTCTCGTACAACTGCAGTTAGTAACAGTCAAATCCGTTTTCCAATTGTTACACTATTCATAACTCACTTATCTTTTTAGCTAAACTGCACTTTTGTCAACTTAGGTTGAAAAATTTAAACCATCTACGTAGCAAACTGAATAAAACTTTTTTGATAGTTCTAAAAACGTCAATTTTACAAATAAATGTCTAAAAACTTATCTTGAAACTTTCGCCGAGACGCTATCAATCACTAATGCTCACACAACATTACATAGCACACAAATAGTCGCTCGTATAATCAATTGAACATGCATTTGCTCATATGCAAGGAACATTTTATTCAAAGTTATAGTTAAGGTGGGTCAATTATAAATGATAAATTGTAAATTATTCAAACATGGAAAAACTTATACGTTTATAAAATATAACTTAATTCAAATAAATTCAAGAGTTTATAACAATTTATATAAAATTAAATTAGCAAAATATAATCACTACTGAAAATCATAGTATTTAAGATGAAAACCTATTTATTAAACAAACTTGATTTGCCTTCCTCTGCGTACTTAATTGCTTCCCCGCAATAGTCTTCACTGAGTTTCAATTCTCCGTAATAATTAAAGGCCTAAATGCATTAAAATAACATATTCAGTTGAAATATCAGTTCAGATAATTTTGCGATGAAGGTAAAAATGCAATAAGAATGACACATATTTCTCATCTTGTATTTTTGGTAATTTATTTCTAACAATATTTAGTTGTTTGGATTGTTTACAGTTCCGCTAAAAAATTTCAGGAAGTCATTGGTGTGTTCGCATTCAATATTTTTTAGTTTAACACCTGATCAGATATCATTTTTCAATTGTTTTAGAATTAGAGTTAAATGAAGTACAATTTACAAAAAAATACAAAATATGAATATGGCATCAAATAAGCTGCGAGTAGTGAAAAAACGAAAAACAATTCTCGATACTGAAATAAGAGATGCAGAAAGGAGAGCGGACACACAATTCAGCCGTCATCTGCAGACACTTAGAAACTTTATCACATGAAGATGGTATAGCTGCAAAATATATACTTGAAACATACAGTTACGAAGATTTATTTGGCAAAATGAAGCTATAAGAACCCAATCGGTTGTTGTGTGAGGTTGAAGTGTAATAGAATGTTATAGAACATTTTTTGTGCAGATGACTCAAAGACCGGATAGCTATACGAAAAAAATTGAACATACAGCCAAACGAACGCCATTTTGAATTCTGTTGAGCAGGGAGTCATACGATGAAAATCTAAATAGTTGAAACAGGATGGGCTAATATGAGCCAATATATCGTACATATTGCAATATACATGCATCGTTTCCAATAATTTCAACCTGCTTGCAGCAAATAAGGTAACTGCACGCACACACAAACACACGTGCACACACACGCGCGCACGTAAATTATATCAACAGTTCGTTCCGAATGACAACTTATAATATAAAATTTTTAATAAAAACAATATGAAAAAAAAACATACGCCAGCCATGTATATGTCACATTTGAACTGCAGGTATAACTTCCACTTCAAAAAAAGTTTATGATTCAAGTTTGAAAATAGATCAACTGAAAAAATAAAACATAAAAGTAAAAACAATTGCAATTATTTTCGAGCATTGTTAAGTAGTTGAAAAATGTATGAACAGTGATATGCAACAAAATCGTTCGCTCACCAGCCTTTTTGAAAATCTGCGAAGTTTCATACGATAGAGATGCAATCAATTCCGGCTTATGTTTCATTTCTATAGATCTTGCCAGTGAAACTTCAAATGTACAAAAAATTAACGTTATTTTACCCCAGTATAAAATAGCAAATGTTAATTTCTCGGTTGTAAATTTGTTTTTTTGTTCAAGTGTACTGTTATTAAACAATAAGAAAAAGAATTCAACAAGAGGCGTCAAGAGGTACTGCAGCGGCTTCACTTGACCGCGGTGGATACACGACAGTCACTTGTCATATGTATGTATATATATATACGATTCCACAAGAAATTAAAGATTGTAACACTTTGCATCTTTTTAAAAATAAACTGAAAAATTTTTTAATTACGAAAAGTTCTGTTTTTCAAGGATAATAATGTATATGTATATATATGTATATAAGTGTGTACATATTTCATTAACATTGATACATTTTCTCCTATTGACAATTTTATTTTATCATTGAGAAGCAATTTTGAGCTGCACGGTGGCCGAGCCCACAAGAATTAATTTTCTTTTTTTGGTCTCCGAATCATTCATGCTTTTGTTTTGTTTGATTGAATAAAAGTGATTTGATTTGATTTGATATATATATATATATATATATATATATATATATATATATATATATATATATATATATATATATATATATGTTGGTAATAGACCATAATTTTTACAATATTCTATAAATTCTACCGAATGTTTGGCGATTTTTACAATATTCTATAAATTCTACCGAATGTTTGGCGTTTTTACAATATTCTATAAATTCTACCGAATGTTTGGCGTTCTATAAATTCTACCGAATGTTTGGCAAATGTTATATATATATATATACATATATATACATATATATATATATATATATATATATATATATATATATATATATATATATATATATATATGGCTTCAGACAGTCTGTCGTATATACAGTTATTAAGAAACATCACCGCATTTTCCGCATTGTTGAGTTTGTAAGTTTTTCAATTTTTAGAATTGTTATATGATAAAAATAAGATATGAAATATTGGATAAGAATCTTTGTAAGAATCTTTGTTATGAATGTGATAGAGTTTGTGCACCAGACAAATTATGTTTTGCTTGCAAGGCTGTTGATCACTCAAAGTGTGGTTTATTTATTTAATGAAATAGTCAAACTATCTAATTACTGATGAAGTTTTAATAATTGCTTGGGTATAACTAAATAGGAATAAGCAAAAGGTTTCAATGACATTAAGAATAAACAAGACAAGAAGCAGTGGATATAGCACTAACAGAATCACAGGAAGGGTATAACAAATTATTAGACACCATGAAGGAAAAAAATGTTAAGAATGCAGAAAATAACTCAGGCGGTATTAAACAAAAGAAAAATGGTGACAGAAACTTTAGGAAATTTTAAAAATAATCGGATTAATATGGTTTAAAAAGAGTTTTTGAAACGAGTAAAAGTGGTAAATAAAGAAGTACAATCAGCATGCAAAAATATTGAAAAAAGATGCAAAGATATTAAAAAGATATATGCAACGCGGTGGAGAGGACAAACAATACCATATAAAAATAAGAGAACCATGTCCAAAATGATGAAATGCGATGACCAAAAAATGTTATCCAAGATTATTGCCGCATAAAGATGGAAGAACATGTGGGCGTTGTTTGAAGTCGGATGGAGAAAATTAATTTTCTCCATTATTTTTTTTTTAATTTTTAATTTATTTAATTAATTAATTAATTTAATTACTTTTATTTATTTATTTTTAATTTTCCGTTGTGAATTCAACAAGTGTGAATGATTTTAAATCGAAATTAGATGCATTTTTCGAAAAATCTGATTTGAAGTACGACTGAGAAAAAGAGCTTCGATTGAATGTGCGTACTGTGAGAGACACTAAAAACATTCAATTTTTTTCTTTTCCTTCAAACATTTACCGTTGTTGTTCAATCATTCGAAATTGCAAATATTGTTTTTTCACATTTATGTTGTTAACAAATGCATCAGAAAAACGTGTTGGTATATGGAACGCAAAACTTGGCATTTAGAACTACAAACTGAGTGACAAAATAAAACCTTCAATCAGATGTTAATGTGCTTCATCAATACAAAACAATAAGAAGGCGTTGTTTGTTAAGTAAGATTAATAACCTTCTTGAGCCTCGCCTAAACATTGCAAATAATAGGCTTCCAAAACATTGTCATCCAAATCTGAAAATTGTTCTGCATTTCGTTTAAGATTGCTTTTTGTAATCTGAAAATAAAAATTGTAGCACCAAGTAGCCTAGTGTAGCCTACAAAAAATTCATAAGCGCAAGACTGGATTGAAACACTGAGTTTATTTAGCTACATAGAAGGAAGAAAGTCATGTTGCACAACATCAAACGCCTTAGCTATATACACAAGCATAATCGTTCGAATCAAGAATATTTAGGTCATAACCGTTTAATAATTTTCACGAAAACCATTTATTTCAATCATTGAAAACAAAAATTATTCAAAACATTCAATTGTTCAAAACCAAAATGCTCAACGGGGGCCTGCTCTGTCTGCCAGTTCATTTCAAAATTTTAAAACGATGATTATTAGTTTAAGTCTTCAAGTGGCCTTTATAAAAAAAAAAAACTTAAAATAGCACAGCCCATTTTTTAAAACATTTGATAACATCAGAACACGGGTGATTTATAACTATTACTTAATTGCCATGGTGGAAACATCGAAAGTTTAAAAAGTTTACTGAGTCTGTAATGTAGGAGGCCCTATGAATTCAATAACACTCTTTAAAAAGATTTAAAAAACAATTAATTCTATTAAAAGTTATTTGTTTTTTAAACTTTTTAATCACTAGTCGCTAATGGTTTTAAGAGAACCCTTAAATTTTCGACGTCAGCCGTATATAAAATTAAAAGGCATTTATTGTTGAAGCTTGAAATTTATTCACCAGACCATTAAAAATTAGAAAAACCTTCAAGCAATCACTGCATGGTACCGTGAAATTTTTTTTGGCCGAAGCATATATTAATATATATTATTAATTTATTATTTAAATAAAATAATTAAATCAGTAAATACGTTTATCCTAATAATTTCAGCTACGGGTGCATCAGAATTCGGTTAAAATTGGCAAGGGTCGGTTATTGCAAGATGAAACAGAAAGCAAATATATATAAAGAAGGGAGAAAATGCAAAGATTAAGAGAAAAATCTTTATTATTATGATCCCGTACATTGAAAATCGTTATAAATTAATTAATAAGTTCAAAAGTAACAAACTTTTACAAAAAGGAAAATTCCAGCGGCAGTTTTCAGCGATTTGAAAACTTCCAATGCATCGTTATCCTTAAGACTGCAGGTAGAATATGTGTTATGTTTAAAAAAATTTTGTCACAACTATTTGTTCAAATTTAAACAAGAAAAAAGTTAAATTATTTACAATTACACTCGATGGCAATTTTGTTGTAAAAGGAGCTAAAAGGTGTAGGGAAGTTTTTCACCAGAGCCTCTCTAAATCATTCACCCAAACATCCATTATATAAGGAGTCCTCCTTGCTGGGTTAATTTGAGGAAACAGTGGTGAAGCTTGACAGCTTTGACGAGAGGCAGTCAAAATTTTGAAAATTAGGAAATTCTTTGAAAAATTTTAAAAAAAGGCAAAGATTTGTGGCAGTGAGCAAAAAATTAGGCTGGCAACGTTTTTTTGCTAATTACGTCAATTTTAGGTCGATTTAGTACATCAAACGATGTTTTTTTCTGTGCCAAAGCTGAGTTTTACTGATTTACTCAAACTCATCAGTGAGAACAACTTCAATGGACTCGATCATCAATCCATCCAGCCTTCTAACGGATCTACAATTCTACATATTACAATCTGGAAACCAACTCGACAAATTTATGGAACCTAACTCACATTCTCTCATGTTTCAACCAGACATCTCGGACGATAGTAATGTTCGCAACAGTTTCAGCGATGGTGAAACATATCTAACGGGTAGTGTGGAGTCAATAATGTCAAACCAGCTGAACATTTGATGAACAAACTACTAATTTTATTTTAATAAATTATTTTAATGAAATTATCTTGAAAATTAAATTAATTTTTTAATTTTAAATTAACTTGAAAATTAACTTCAAAAGTCAGCCAGATTTGATTAGATAATTTTATTTTATATAAAATGAAATAAAATAACGTTGTTGCCCGTTTTGTGCACACGTCTAAAAATCACCTTCAAATAGACGTAAACGGTATTGAAAACAGTAAAAAAACAGCCAAAAATTTAGTACGTGCATTTTAAATTATTTATAGATTTGATTAGATAATTCTATCCCCTATTATATGATATAAAACAAGGCTATTGCCATTTTATCTTCTACGAATGGATATAAAAGACGCTATTTACACCACAAGAAATGCCGTTGAAACCATCACTCGCGACAGTATCATTAAATAGACAATATGGGTTACAATAACTAGGAATCTACCAAAAATCTATTTATGTGTATTTTAAAAAATATTTACAGATTTGATTATATAATTTCATTCTCCATGAAAAATGAAACAACTCATTTGCACGCTGTGTGCACATTTTTAAAGACTTTGTTGGATGAATAGACGTTACAGGTAACGATAATTTTAAAAATCAGTCAAAAATTTATTTACATGTGCATTTCACAGATACTCTTAGATTTGATAAGATTAGTTTATACTCCATTTAAATGCCTTTGGAATAGTTATTCAAGTATTTCAAAAAGATGAAATTGGTAACGATACATTAAAGAATCCACCAAAAAACAAAAAGTGCAATAGCATCTTTTACATGTATATATTTTGACAGATAATGAAATTATATTATCAAAGTTACAAGTATTTTAACAAATGCACCAATAAATGAACTTTCGGCGTTAGCGATATCGTCTATATAAAGATTCTTGAGTGACGATGAATTCATCAAATCAACTGCAAAATCAACGTTATTTTTGCTACTGCTTTTGTGCCCGAAACGTGCAACTGAGTATTTTTGATATCATTGACAAATAAATGAATTTTTTTCTGGTTTTCAAAGTTATCGTTAGCGTTACAGCCTTTTCAAAAAAACGTGTAATGGCGTTGTTATAAGTCAAAATATAGAAGATGAAATTATTTAATCAAAATAATAAATGTCATTGAAATGCACACATAAATGGATTGTTGTCTATTCTTTAAGTTTTCGCTACCCGTTGCGTCAATTTGGAGATTCATGGGTGATGCGTTCAATCAAACATATGGGGTTGTTCACGAAACGGGTATTAGTGTTGTTTTATAACAATTAAAAAAATATTTATTCAAATCTATAAATATATTTGAAATACATACATAAATGGATTTTTGGTTATTTTTTAAAGTCTTCGTTGCCGGTGACGCAAATTTGAAGATTTGTGACGTGTTAAATCAAATTTTTGAGGGCGTTTACTTAACTGACAGCGGCGTTTTTTTTTAATTTGAGAATTTAAAGATTCATGAAAAACGCACTCAGCTAAATTTTTGGGAGTGTGCACGAAACGGAAAATAGCGTTGTTTTACACGATAATTTGGAAGGTAAAATTTTCTATTGAAAAGAATAAGTATCTATGAAAGGACAAGGACATTTTGGAAAAAGCACAACGGAGAGCAACAAAAATGATCAGAGGACTTAAAAATCTTAACTTCAAAGATAGGTTGAAAGAGTGTGGATTGACAACACTGGAAACAAATGCAGAGGAGATCTGATACAGGCATACAGATTGATTACCAAGAAAGAAGAAACACCATTTACCAGATTTTTTCAACTGGAGAATAGAATATGATTACGAGGCCACAGATATAAGCTCTCAAAAAAAAAGAAAGTGCCGTCAAGCAAAGATTCTTCCGCAGTAGAGTGGCAAACACCTGGAATGATCTGACTGATGAGAGAGTCTCCGCGGAATCAATCAACAGTTTCAAGATCAAGCTAGGAAAATTAGTATAAGACACTTATCTCGCAGTGGTTCTCACACAGGTTCTAATCTTCTGAATCAATTTAAACCATATATGTTATGAAATGCATACATAAACTGGTATTTAGCAATTTTTTTTAAATTCTCGTTACCGATTACGTCTAATGACGGTGATGTTGTTCAACAACATTTTTTTGGTTGTGTACAATTTGTCATCTCGATAAAATTAATATGTGAAGAGAAACAAATAATGATTAGCAACAATTAATTTTTCATTTCAAAAAACATTTAAATATTACAAGTTTCATTGGATTTGTCATATTCTGCCTTTTAGATATGCTTTACTGTCGCTGGCTTTATTAATTTAATTTGTAATAAATTACAATTAATTTGTTAGATTATTGAAAATTTTAAAGGGAGATAAAGATTTGAGGTAGTGAGGCAAATAATTAGGCTGGCAGCGTTTTTTTTTTGTTAATTACGTCAACTTTGGTTCATTTAGTACATCAAACTTGTTTTTTTTTCTGTGCAAAAACTGAGTTTTACTGATTTACTCAAACTCATCAGTGGGAAACGTTTATAATGGTGCAGGCAAGCTAATAAAATTATAGTCACAAGTTATAACATAAAAAGTAAACGATGTATTTGTAAATTCGGCTAAAACCGCCGGCCGGATTTGAAAAAATCCGGTAGGGCTCTAAAAAAAATTCAGGCTAATATTAAAATCATTATAAAAACCTTACTTGCTTTTAACAGAAATAGCCGCCGCATGTTTTGAGTACCATATTGCCACAGAATAGAGCATAGATAGACATTCAAATAAGCTATCACTCTGCTGGCTTAATTTAAGAAAAAAGCTGATTTATGTTATAATGATTTCAATTATGACGATTAAAACGATGAAAATGATTTTAGGAATAGCAAGAATAAATCATCTCATAATGAATTTTCGAAACACTGTAACTAAATTTACAACTTGTCATTTTGAACGTTATAAGTTTATTTATTATTTGTTAACAGAGCACTAAAACAACTGAATCTATTAAAATAAAAAAATAAAATTGTAAGCTAATATAGCACTATTTCATGGATATGTTTCAACAAACGCAAATGCAAATAGAGCAGAAAAAAAAATAACCTGTAAATAAAAAAAATGGCCATGGCTATTCGTCTCAACTCCTATCATCTTAAAAATAGCTATCTTTTAAACTATATATATATATATATATATATATATATATATATATATTGGGTTTAGACTATCATAAATACAATTATTTATAAAGATCACTGCGTTTTCGGCAACGTACACACAAACACACGAAAACGCAGTGATCTTTACAAATAATTGTATTTTTGATCTTTGTAAATAATTGTATTTATGATAGTCTAAACCCAAAATTTCTATCAAGGACATGGACTAAATGCGTCGTCACTGATGAAAGTGACGTTAACTCTAATCTCAATAATGAACTTAGAGAAAAAAATGCCGAAAACGCAGTAATCTTTATAAATAATTGTATATATATATATGTGTGTGTGTGTGTGTGTATGTGTGTATGTATGTATGTATGTGTGTGTGTGTGTGTGTGTGTGTGTGTGTGTGTGTGTGTGTGTGTGTGTGTGTGGTTTGTGTGTGTGAAATAAAAAGCAAAAATACCAAAATGAAATGTTGTAAACAGAATTGGACCACTTGTAATTAACAATGTAGCGCAATTGGCTTTCTTCTTGCTGATCATCCAACGAATAGATGAATCCATGTAACAAGGAAAGATAATTATCAAGCGATTCATTAACAATATCTATTTGATTGTACGGGTCTTTTAATCGTTCTAACAATTCAATCCGACTTTTTCTCACTTCACTGTAAGAAATATTTTCATTTAATGACATACCCACTAACAATGAACCAAAATCGTTGCAATTGTTATATACAGCAATAAATCATTATAAATGGTTATAATGAAAATTCTTTTATTTGTCTAAAATAATTATCAAAATAAACAGAAATAAAAATAGTCTATGAAGCTCGTCACACAATTAAAAAGAGTACATCAAGAAATAAAAGTAAAAATTAGGTTCTGAGAGTATTTGGAGTTAAAATTCTTTCGATTTGACGAAGTTTCTTTCGTGGCATACCGTCAACTCCAGTATTTCGATCGTGTTACCCTGTCGGAGTGCAATATCGGGACGAAGCGATTTGAATAAAGATGATATGGAGAGGTAGTTTTCTGTTTGTGACTTATGTCGGGAAAAATTAAAACATCAGGATTGGCTTGAGATTCAACTTCCTCTAAAATTATTGATAAAATTTTGTTGTGGCGTGTTGTGTGTGTATCTCTTGAGGACCAGGATGGAGGAGCCACAATTAGATAGCACGTGTTTGTTTGATTGGATTGCGCTGCAGAGCGGAGACAAAGCTCATACCTCATCTGGAAAGAGTGACACTTGTAAAAAGTTACTGAATCAATCGCTTCCTCACAAATTTGAACAAAACCTCTGAGAGATTGGCGGTTGATCAAGACATCGAAAAATGTAGACCCCGGAAATTTTATCTTTTATTGCATTCATTATTTGTCCCTGACATTTGAGCAGCGACAAGTGCATAGTCAGCTTTTGACTTTTCAGGACTTCGAAGAATTTGCAATTTCCATTGGGGCGAAGTGTTAAGCTCATCAACAGTGGATATTAAAAATTTGAGTTTTTTTTATTAGTAGTTCTTTAGCTTTTCAGTTGTTTCCATCAAAGTCGTACATCTTGCCAAGGTATTCAAAATGACCATTAAGTTCGACAAAGGAATTGGTTTGTCTTCAATAGACAGTGCTGGTAGAAACTGTTCATAACTTCCATTCCTTTTCTCATACCAAAAGCGCAGCACTTGTCTATCCTCAAGGTCATTCCGGTTGCGTGGCACCAGGCTAAATTTAATTCAATTAATTTTTAAGCTCCGTCTGATGATAGCTGTGTCATATGCCAGGCATTGGTTTTTAAGTTGCTGGTACTCTGTGATTTTAATCAATTTTATCAGTGGATTGAAACACAAGTTGAAAATTACTGGGAAAATTGTAAAACAATACGTCTAAAGGAAATAGTAATTAGACTTGCACACTCTGCTAAAGATACAAAATAGTTGGCATACATAAATTTAGTTGTTGTTTATTTGGGATGGGATATGGGGATAGCTCAAAGCATATTGAATAAGGCTGTAGCTAATTTCTCCGAACGCATCACATAGATCGAGCAGGGTAACAAATCGTTTTTTTGTGTCTTTTGGCGTCTTAAAGCATGTGAGACTGCAATTGGGAGTGTTCGGTTGAGCCATTAACCTTTAGGTGAAAACCTTTTTCAATGTCTTAGTTTTTCAAGGAGTTAACATTGAAAAAACTATAAGTTCTGTTGTTCTTAAATTTTGAGTAATAAGTCAGAAGTTAGATGGGATCACCTATTTTATAAATCAAGATAAAATGACCTAGCCCTTTTTCCAAAAAGAGAAGATTTTGGATGATGATGATCAGCAATAATATCATTATTTGTAAAAAATAGTTCATAGTATTGGACATATTTTACATGGAATGATCGATATTTGGTCTAAATGGCACGGTGACGATTTCGATTTGTTGCTTCTGATGATTGACAATACTTCAGGATAAATGTGCGGACAAAAAAAACAACAAACAACAACAACAATAATAATAATAATGTCATTTTATATAGCGCTATGACAAGCGACTGAGGCGCATAAAATCACAAAGAATAGACTGATATGTTCAAATACACAAGCATCAACAATTCCAGTTTACAGTGTATAAATAAATGTATTAAGGTAACCAGGGTAGATCTATTTAAACACAATTCAATTCGATTTAACAAAATTTAACCAAAGTCCTAGTATGATCATATATATATAAATTATTATCTATTGTAAATTTCAATAACCATGTTCTATAATTTTATAAAATTATGAATAATTCTAAAAGTTTGTTGTAGTTCGTTGGTATTAACTGAGTTTTTTCATGATACATTTTACTCCATTTGAAACCATCCATTTATCAATGGCAACTAAGCAATCCAGCAATCTAACAGTCAAAACATCAAACAAACCAGTCGCAGCCCTTCTGATCACCTGAAGGCAAAACTTTTGAAAACAAATTCATTGATAGTCTAACACGTATAGAGAAGCGACCCTAAAAAAGACCCTTGTATTGTGGTACATATCTCTTTATATATGTATATATATATATAATATATATATTTATATATATATATTTTTTATAATTATCAGTGTCGCACTGTTTATTCCCTTATTTGTTAATTTATTGTTAACTTTCTTGCCCATTCCAGCATGAATTGTGTAGCAGTGACATATAAATTAATAAATTGCTTTAAACAGAAAATTAAAATAAATCATCATTTACTTCAACAAAAATCACAAACAAACGGCATTTTGCAATACATTTTATATCCAATTAAAACTGCCTTAAATGATAGACTTTGATCAACTTCATAAAAAAACATTCTTCGAGTTTTAGACAATTGAAGTGAAAGCAGATAAACCAAAAATTATGTATATAACTACAGAATTCAATAACAAGATATAACATATCAATGATGAAAAAGAATAACTTAAAAATAATTTAAAACTAAATTTTTCACAGAAAACGTTTTTTAACCTGCAAACGTTTATGGAATCATTACCACGTGTTACAGAACCAAGTTCAAATGTTGTAAACTCTGTAGACTTCATATAATTTCTATGGAACCACATTCTGCAAAATTTTTTCAAAGTTTTATGATTTATAAGTGTTCGAAGGGGTATCTTTTGTTATGTCACAAGTCATTTAATAATAACATAATGTTATAATACTCGCTGTCGTAACCGATTTACGATGCGACGGGTTCAAATCTTCGATTGAATAAAATACTCCAAACAGTTATTAGTTATTAAACTTTATTTACAGAAGAAATCAACTAATTGTTTATTTCCAGCAAATTCAAACTAACGCAACAATTAACTTTTAAATTGTTCAAAATCTATCGCTATGACAACGTCAACAGACAAATCAAATATCGCTTTAAATTATTCACCGAATCGCTATTCACAAAATCACGAATTTCACTAATCACGGATTTCACTAATCGCTAATCTTCTTGCGACGTGCGCTTATATACTCTTCGCAAGCGTCGTTTCTAGATTCTTCTAGATGGTCCGATTCTAGCATACTCTAGAATGCTCCAGTCACTAGAACATTGTAGAATACGCTAGAATCTAGTGCGTTCGGTAGCACGGTTATAACAATAATAACCCTATTATTATGCAGGGTTGTATATTTGAAAGTTAGCTTCAATGAATATTGTGCGTTGAATTAGTTTGTATTTGCTTTATGTAGACAATGGTGGTAATGAAACGTTGTAGGTTGAAGATATAGACAAAGTAAACGCTGTGGATTCTTATATTGGTAGTTTCTTTAATGATGGTAACGATGTTTCATAATGACATTAAAATTTTATAAACATCTTGTAAAGGAAATAAAAAAATAACAAACGTCAGTTTATGAAAAAATTAACAAAACTAATACATTTAAGGCAGCAGGTCTGGATGGTCTATTTTCAAGAATTCTTGTAGAAAGTGCTGGATCTGTAAGTGAATATCTCAGTTTTTTAATTAATATTTCTTTAAATTCCAGGTTTTTGCAAAACAAATAGAAATTAAGCAATGTGGAACCTATTTTTAAAAAGGGATCAAGATTTTGCCTCAACAATTATCGTCCAGTCTCATTATGACATAAAAAGTTTTAAAATTTTTGTTGAAGAATCACTGTTGCTAAATTTCAAGAATAAAAATTTGTTAATCCATTTCAATACGGATTTATGATGGGTAAATCAACAACTCTGCAAATGTTAAGCATATTAGATAATTGGTCTATAGCAGTTGGTAGAGGGATGGATGTCGATGTCCTCTACACAAATTTCGAAAACGCCTCTGAAAAAGTGTCGCATCAGAAATTGATTCAAAAACTACAGTAATGTTATATGGGGTAAATAATCAATTAATTATCTGGATCAGTGAGTATTTGCAGAACAGAAAATTTTCAGTAGTTGTTAAGAATGTTCGTTTGGAGTGGCAAATTATGCGTAGTGGGGTTAAGACCTATTTTATTCATCATTTAAATTAATGATTTTTTTAACGTTAGTTCTGTTAGTGAATGTGTTAAATTTTTCTGTTTGCTGATGATGCAGAATTGTACAAACGAACCAAATAACAGGATGATGAAAAAATTATCCAGAATGTTTTAAGTTTAATGGTCAAATGATGTAAAAATAATGACGTTAGGTTGAACGTGAAGAACCATGTTAGTATGAGGGTTGTAAAAAAAAATGGAAAAAAATGAGTATTTCATTGACAACCTAAATTTGAATCCTGCGAATAAGTATATTGATTTGGCAATTACATTAAATAATACTTTAAAATTTGACGATCATATTATTATTATATATGCAGATGTGGAAAAGAGTACATTATTTTGGGTTTGATTTATTTTTTGAGTTCTTGAATACATTTTCATTTTTGATTTCAAACAAAGCAATGGCCAGGTATGTTCTTTTATATGCAGTTTCTGTGTAATCCCCATGGAATATAGAATTGGTAGAACATATTGAAAAAGTACAGAAAAAAGTAACAAAAATAATTAAAAAGAATGCAAAGATCTGAATTATGAAGAAAGACCAAAATATTTGGAGTTGCCGACAAGTTGTTAAGAGTTAGGGTTAATCGTTAATAAGTTTTTTAATAATAATTATTAATTAAATTAAAATTGAAAGCTTAAAATTAAAAAAATTTTTAAATGAAAAATCATGACATGCCTCAGTCTTTATCTTTAGTTTATTTTATAAACTATAAAGTATAAATAACCCAGGACGGATCTTTAATTTTGCCAATAACTCATAATATTTTATAATCATAATATGATTATAAATAAAAAAAAATGGATTTAGAAATAAAGGAAACCTGACAAAATCAGAGAACTATCATGGGTTTTTCCAGTGCTATTTAATTTTGTTAAAGAGACATTCCCCTTCTTCCATCAACGCTTTTAAAAGTGAAAATAAACGATGTGGATGGTTTTCTACTTTACACTTAAAGATACCTAAACAGGCTCTCGAACGCACCCGCGCACATTTTTAGTACGCTTTAGAGTTTGGTCCCTTTATTTAGTTTCGATCATGGAATTACATAATTAGATTCAAAATGTTCAAAATGTCCCTAAGTTGCTTAGAATTTAGTTAATTTGACGGTGAACTAACAATCTTTGGACAATATATTGACACTAAATTAGAACCATGGATATATATAACATATATAGATTAGAACGTAACAGATTTAAGCCATTCGATTTTTATTTTTTAAAAATATATAACTTGAAAATGAAATTTAGCTTGCAAAAGAACAGTTTCCGATGTTAAAAATGCATAAAAAAATTAAACGATGATTGAAAAAAGCACATTTATTTCAAAATTAAATTAAAACCACAAGAAAAATATCAAAAAGAAAAATTTTATAAGAATATCAATACAGATTTGAATAAATTTAAGTTATTCAGAATAAATATTGATACATTTATAAATGAAAACTCTAAAAAATATAAGAACATGTGATGTGTTTGTATGATGAAAATTTTATGAATCGAATTTGGGAGTGGCTGGCCCGTGGTATTTCACGGAGTAACCTTTTGCGTTGGCCTGAATTTAAGTATATATTGAAATAAATTAAAGTATTAATCAAATAATTAACATAATTATTAAATTAAATGGAAATAAATTAATGTATTAATCAAATAATTTACATAATTAATATAATTATATTATTAAAAAACTATTATCCACACACACGTACCACAAATCCAAGCTGATTAAGACAGTTTATAACATTCAGAAGGGGTCCTTTCCTGCCCTCGTATAGGTCAATATAATTCAATGGTTTCGATGGTTACTAAACTCATGAAATCTTACAATTTTTACTTTTTTTATTGTTTATTTATAAATATTTATTTTTTTTATTTCATGCATTTGCATATTTAAATGGATATATAATATTTATAATATCCATGAGTAATCCACAAGACAGAGTTGATATGGTTTGGTTCTAAGAAGGCTTTCCTGCACTAGGAGATATGACTGTTGATATATTGGGTAATAGGTTGATCTCGGCTGACAAGGTCAAAAACTTGGGTGCGACGTTTGACAGTGCTATGACGATGTTGCCTTAGGTAGCGAAACTCAATGCTATCTGCTTTCTTCAGCTACGAAGATTGTATCTGGTCAAGAAATGTCTTCCAGTTGATATTTCTACTAGCCTGGTGGTGACTTTTCTACTGTCTAGATTAAACTATTGCAATTCGTTGCTGTATGGTGCTGGTGTAGGGATAGTAAATAAAGTTCAACGAATCCAGAATGCTGCCGCTAGATTGGTCATTGGTCTAAGTAGACGTGATCACATTACAAAGGGGTTGGAAAGTCTCCACTGGCTACCAATCAGGGAACAAATACGATTTAAGATGGCCGTGGTGGCTCATAGTTGCGTAAATGGCGTGGCCCAAAATATCTGAAGGAGGTTTTTCGCAAAAGAGCTAAAGTTGATACGGGACATGCATTGCGTTTGGTTTCGTCAGAAATGATAGTAATTTACAGGACCAGGACAAAACTGAGTGACAGATGTATGCAGGTTGCTCTGCCCAAGGTATGGATTGATTTCAAGATTGAAGCAAATTGTTCCAGATAAAGATTTCAGAAAAGAGTTAAAAAGTTATTTGTTCAACAAAGCATTTAATCACAGTACTATCCTCTGAGGATTGTCATTAGAGCGAATAACATAATTATAATAATAATGATAATAATAATGAATTATATGATTAATAATATATACATAAAATGATTAATTATTAGTAATAGGTGAATAGTATATATTCATGAATATTTATGCGTATTTAGTATCTTTTTTCTGGTGTGCGTATAGCCGAACGGATTTAAGTGAAAACTGTCAGTGAAAATTCTTTTATTTTGATAGGGAATTTTAATAGCCATACAAACTACTACAATAAAAAAGTAAGACAGTTTTTCGCTCTATATAAATAATAATTTTCTGATCAAATCTGATGCAGCTTATAGAAGAACAAGCTAGAGGAAGCCATATTTTAAACTTGGCGTCGAATGATATAATCCTGTCCAGAATGTAGAAGCTGCAGAGCACTTTTTAACCAGTGACCATCGAATAATAAATGGTGGTGGCCCAGAATACTCAATTTAAAACGGGAGCAACTAAATCAAATAAACTAAACTAATGATAGATCGAACAAACAGCAAAAACAATAAATGAATCAATAAAACAAGTATATAGACATCAAGAACGACATTAAACAATGATAGAAAAAAAATAACAATCAATCGAACAAGCAATAAGACAGTCACTGTCTGACAGTGAACCATTGAACAAAAAATTGACACAATCAATTAAACAATTAATAGATAAATAAATAAGGTGGAACTATAAAAAAGACATAATTAAACAAATAATTAAACAAGCCATGAATTAATAAAATTAGCGTACAAAAAAATCAAGTAATAATCAAAAAAACATACCTACATAGAACAAAAAACAGTATTCAACTAAACGTGTTTTAAGCAGACAACGCAAGCATCTAAAAATCAAATAATCAAACAAGCAATTAAGCAAGCAATACAAAAAAATCAAAATTAATAAAAATAATCGTA